ATAGAAATTTTCAACGATTTACGTAAAATTTAATTTAAAATTATTTAAAATTTATAACTTAAAACAATTTTTTTATTTATTTCTTTTATTAACATTGATTATTATTTAATAGAAATAAGTTCAGGATTCGCACATTATTAAAACAAAACAATATATGTATATAAAAAATTCAAATCAGGAGCAAAATTATGATTTTTAATTTAAAATTTAATAAAGTCTATTTCTTTTTTAAAATCCATTTAAAATATACGAACATCTATCTATTCCTTACATATCTTGTATTAAAACTAATGTAAAATATCTTTCATTTTTTATTTTTCAGAATGTTAAAAATAAATATATTTAATGTTAACTTATAATTATCATTTAAATATTAATAATAATTATCAATTGAATATATCAATTAATTCGATACATTTTATCTTATTTTAAATAAAATCATTAATAATGAAAATTATTTATATATTTCAAATTTTTAAATATCAAATATATATAAAATAAAGATTATCAAATAATAATTGAAATATCAATTTATACGCAGATAATAAAGTAAATTTTATTATTTATATAAACTCTTATATTTTACTCTTAAGTATATTGTATTTTGTATTATTATATTGTATTTACATATATTGTATTTTTTTATTTCTTTTTTTTTGTATATATAATAAAAGAAATATAATATTCAATATAATTCAATATAATATAATAATAAAAATTCTTTAAAATAATAAAAAAAATATTGTAATTTCTTATTAAAATTATTATACATAAATTATATAAGTCTTATTCATAAGAACATATTCTAAAATCTGCATAAAAGTTTGTTATATTAAAAAAATTCAAATATATGAAATATATCAAAATTATCGATTATTATTTTCTATGTCTTGCATAAAAAAATAGAAAATTATTTCATTTACATTTTTAATAAATTTTTAATGAAATTTAAATATATTCAAATTCAATAAATTAATATTTGATAAATTTTTATCTTTCCCTAAAAGTGGTTTAATATTAATAATTTTTTTTTTATAGTCTTGCCTCTTTCTCCTCTAATAAAAAATAAAATATAAAGAAAATATTACAATCATTATATATGCTCGTTTTTTAATAGTCAAAAATATAAAATATAAAAAAAGAAAACTAATTATTGAAATTAAAATAAATTAAATTCTTAAAAAATAAAAAATATTAAATAATATTTATTTAAAAATTAAGTAAAAAATTAAAATTATTTTTTTATTTAATTTTTTTTTTTTTTAGTATTTTGAAATATTTTTAAAGCTAATTTTTAGAAATAAATATCATTAGCATGAAATTAAAAGGAAATCAACATGGATTAGTGGATTAATATTTCCTTGCAGTCTTATAAGAACTTAAAATATTACAAAATAATTTTTATTAATAACTTATATAATTATTTTAATATAATTAATAATTAATATAATTATTAATAAAAATTATTTTATATTAATTTATATTAATTATATATTGCATATAATATTATTTTATATTATTTTTACATATATTATATAACATATATATAATATATAAGATATGATATATATAATATAAATATAAATATAAATATATACAAACATATTCTGTTTGATGTTCGCAATGGACGTGTTGATATATTTAACTAAAAATTTATTTTCATATTATTTTAAGATTAATTCAAATTAGTAACATTATAATAATATTAATACTTATTATTGAATTATGCAAAGCAAATATATTGATTTTACAATGATCAATTATATCTAGAAGTTTACATTTTGTCACGATTTTTACATTTGTATACGATGTATTTTTCATATAAAATAGATTTATTATTTTATTGCAAACATTTTTTTTAAAAAAATTGAGGATGAATAATTTTCAAAAATATTGTTTTGAATGTCATTTAATAATTTCATCAAATAATTTATTTTTTTTTAATTTGCATCTCTTTCTTCATTCTTATGATAACTTTTTTTTACTTTAATCAATATATTTCCATTATTGTTAAAGAATGATTAAAAATATAAATTGTAAAAATATTGTTTTCTATTAAAAATATTTTTATGTATTTTGTTTTTTATATCATGGTATTTTATATGATATATGATATATGATATATAATGTTAATTAATGAAAAATTTCAATTAATTATAAATTAATATAAACTAACTTAATATAAATTCTAATTATTAATTAGACCTATATAAGATAACAAGATTAAAATACAAGGAAATATAATTAAAAAAAAATTACAATTGAGAAAGATTTGTTTGAAATAAAATTAAATGTGAAAAAAAATAAAAGTTTTATTAAAAAATATTACGATACAATAAAATTTATTACATAATACTATATAATATATTTTATACTAAATATTTTAAATAATTTTTTTGAGAAATGGTAACTAATTATTTAATAACATTTGTATGTATTACAAATTTATATTTATACATGTAGATTGGCTCTACAAAAGAAAAATAGCAATTAATAAATGTAGATTTTATTTTTTATATATTTTTATTTTATTGCATTTACCCAATTTAGTCTTGAAAATGATATTGAAAATATCATAAAATGTTGAAGCCAGTGAAATGAAAATATCATTAAGATTGAAAACAGATGTAATTAAAACTAAAATAATCAAATCTTTAAACCACGTAGAATTAGAAGAAGAATAAAGTAATTTTTTGCATATATAAATTACATATCGTATATAGGTTAAATTTTTAGACATAAAGAAAGACTTAAAGAATGTGAAAACAAAAAACTTGCTAGCAACAATTTCATACAAATTGCTAATAAAAATAATAGAAGTTAGAAAGAAAATAGATATTTTAGATATAAATAGATATATTAAATGTTATGAAAAATGTCATTAATATTTCTAAATTACAATATTATTTATTATTTTAGATGAACTATTATGGAAATAATATATCTGAATGAAGTTACAGAATAATGAGTGTGTGAAGTTATAAAAAAAAGATTATGTAACTAATGTAAACCATTAGAAATTAATTATAATAACATCAGTACATTTAATTGCATAATTAAACATTAATATAATATTATTGTATTAATTTTAATCTCTAAATGATATAAAAATAAACTTTTAATTAAATATGCCAAGATATTTATTGTGCATATCAAAAATCTTTTTTTTATTTTTTTATTTTTTTCTCATTTTTAGTAACTTTAGTAGATGTTATACTTAACATAAAATCAACAAACAACATTGATCCAATGTTATTTATATTATTTATATAAAATAAAAAATAAGAAAATATTAATAGCTTTATTCTAAATTAAAAATTCCTTGATAAATTATATTCTACTTCCATTATTAGTTTAAGAGTTTTTAATTTAATAAAAATAAATTTAAAAAAACTATATTTAGAATTATATTTAGAATAATTATGGAGTTTTCAATATAAATGGTAATTTTTTTTTTTATTGCAGTATTATCAATTTTCACAATTTTGAGAAATAAAAAAAAAATAAATTAAGATGAAGCTAAATTTTTATATATTATATATATTTTTATAATAAGCATATTAAGTTGATGCTTAACAACAGTTAGAATCAGTTCATTTATTTTTTTAAAAAGCAAATTTGAATTCAATTATAATATACTATTAATATTCATTACAATATCCATTACAAGTTTACCAAAAAGTACTCAAAATTGTTTATCTTCAAAAAAATTTGCAACTTCTCTAATTAACAATATTCTCACAATTTGTTTGCATAGAATATTTATATGTCAAAAATTATATATCGAACTTAATTATTATATATCGAATTTATCTTTTCTTTTACAGTTTTTATTTTTATAGAAGATCAAGATTCTTATAAAAAAAAATCACGAATAAATCACTCAATTTATAGTATAACAAAGAGAATGAGTTTCAATATCTTTGTTGCTCATGTCATAAAAACAATATAAATACACATATATTAGGTACAAGCTTTTCTATTAATGAAATTTTTAACATAAAAAATTTTACCTGAAAAGAAATTATTTCTATTAATAAATGAAAATAGATTATGAAGATACAATAAGAGTAAATAAATAAATAAATAAAAGTAAATAAATAAATAAAGTAGTATTTATTTGTTATATCCATATAACTCTGCATGTTTTTGAAATTATTTTATGATAATAACTATGATGAAATAATATATGAATAATATATGAAAATTTCGAATCTTTATAATTTCGCCTTATTATTACATATCTATAGTAGAAGTGTAGTTACGAACGTATTGAATCAAATATAAAATAAAATCAAATTGTTTTCTGTATATATATAAATAATATAATAAATTTTTCGATTGCCATTTTTTAATAATATTATATTTTAATAATATTTTAATAATAACAAATGAGAAAAATAATTTTTTTATATTTTTATGCAGCCTTGTTCCAATAATTTGTCTTCGACAATGTCAATCTGATTATTTTATGTCAATATCTCGAATAATTAATTCATGATTAAAGACATTTAGATTGTTATGGGAAACCAACAATTCAAAAAATAAAAAACAAAAATAAAAATAATAAAAAACAACAAAAAAACATGGAGGAGTTTAAGTTTAAAGTTTAGGTGGAAATAAATTAGATTTGAATTTAGAATCTACAATTTTATCACATAATATTGAAAATATTAAAGTAAGATCTAATCGTATCTTATTAGAAGATATCCCAGGTAAAATATAATATTATATTATTTACTTGTTTAAATCTTTTATCAAAATAATAAATTAATATTTTTTTTAAATTTAAATGAATAAATTAGAATTAATTAAGATAATATGTAACTTAATGAAAACACAAGATGATAGATCATCAAACAAGTATAGATTCTAAATATACTGTGTTTAATAATAGTCAATATATAGAAAAAAATAACAAAATAAAGATAGTAAATATTTTAAAAATTCTTGATGCATATGAATTATATAAAAGAGAGAAAACAGAAATAGATCGATATAAAAAAAACTAATAATAATATATTAATTAAATCTTTAGAATTAAAAACATATTTGAAAGTTGATAAGAAATACTTAAATTTAATAATAAAACTGGTGTCGGCTATGCATCGAGTGCCGCTTTCGAAGCTAATATCCCATATCGATTTGACATACTTGGTGTTATGTGGCGTTATATTTCCAGCTTTGCAAAGGGAAGCTGGCGATGTAGATGTTTTATTGCTTTAGGCTCGGAAAAACCCTACTCCCAGCCGTTAGGCAATACGTATCTTATTCTTCTAAAGAGACAGCTCGTTTAGTCAGCAATGAGAATGATCGGACCGCGCCAATCGCTGTCCAGTGGAGACCACGAGGAAGTAGAGCCGTCGGTATTCGCCAGGTCTCATACCAGGTCGATTTTCACTATTGCATCTCATCACATCAATATTTACCGTCTGCTACCGCAATCGGAATTAAATTTAATAGTATAAATTAATATATATTCAACAAGAATGAAATATAGATATTATAAATTTTATTTTATTTCAGGAAATATTTCATCAAACCAATTCTTGGCATTCTTAATAAAATGGATACCATAAATATTCGCCAATATCAAAAATTTATGACCTTAGAAATAAATTCGAATTTGATCATATCAAAAATGAAACAAGTCATAAATAAAGAAAAATAATACTATTAAAAAAATAATATTATTAAATTTTATATTATAATATTTATATTAATTGTAATATATTTATATTATTGTAAATATTTATATATTTAAATAAGTATTATATATATATTATAATTTACTAAAAAACAAAATAAATATGATTTCATGAATAATTTAGCAAATTTTGTAAACATTAAATACAATAGAATCTTCATTATTCGAACCTTACTTTCTTATTAACTGATGATATAAACACTTATTATTTAAAAAATTATTCAATTATTTGCATAATATTAGTATATAGATAAAAAAAAATCAAGTATCTATCTATCTAAAATTTAATATAATTTAATAATAGATTATAAATTGGCATTGTGATTTTAGAAATTTGAAAATAATATAATAAATGATATGTAATTCAAGAAATAAATCATAGAAAAAAATTAAATATAAATTTATGAGCGAAAATAAAAATAACTCTGATAATGTTTTCGTAAATAAACAATATTTCTATGCATATAGAAGCATTTATTATAACAGTAACAATCTTTAAATGTTAATAAATGTTTAAAAAAAAATGTATAATATAGAGCAATTTGAATAATTTATTAACTCAAAAAGAAAAGAGATCAAAAGACTGAAAAAATTGATTAAAACAAATATATATAATAATGGATAATATTTAGTAAAATTATCATCATTTCATATGAAACGCAATAATATAAATTATTGAATTATCTAAAACTATATTACACAGATAGATTACCGATATTACTACTATTAATCGAGATCTTATTCATAATTTAATATATAGCTAATCACAAGAATTTTTTTATACTATCTTGTAAATTCAATTATTATGAAAGATTTGATTTCAATAAAAACTTATATAAAGCAATATATTAAAATTATTAAAATATATTAAAATTGTATATAGAATAATTTATTTTTGAATAAAAAATTTTTTTGAGTATGTGAAATCAACTCTCATTTTTTCATGTTTTGTATACAATTTTTTTTGGAAATATATTTTTTTCTATCTCCGATAATAGAGATAGAATTAAATATTTTATAATTTAAAATTTTGTCTTGAATCATTATGAAATGAAATTATGCAAAGAAAAAAAAATAATATTCAAACTTGAAAAATTGATTTCACTACTTCGAAATGATATGATATATATATATTAATAAAAAAATGGTCTCATATTATTATACTCGCAAGATTTCATATGAAATAAAATTATTATTGATTTCAATAACACAAATTTAATTTTTATTACATTTTTATGCTTTATTTTATGTTTTATTTCTGCATTTGCAGAAATACAAAATTGTCAGAAGAATTCAGTGGTTATATTAATTCAGATAAAATGATTTAAACATATCAAAATAACATTAACATTAACGGTATTACGTAATGTTGAACAAGATAAAAAAGCAGGCGTTGATAAGAAGATTGGTATTAATTTTTTATGAAATATTCTACAATATATTTTACAATAAAATTTTAAATCTCGATAATCTAATTATGGATGATATAGATACACATCTTTCGAGATGATATTTTAACAGTTAAAAATTTAGATAGAAATAGATTAGATTTAGATTCAATTTGGAATCTACAATTTTATCACATAATTAAAAATATTAAATTATTAATTATTATTAGAATATGATCGTATCGTCGAATTCTGCCTTGAAAAATCAATTTTGACCAAAATTATAACTTTTAGATACGAAAATCGTTATTATAGCAAAACGCTGCTTCGAAAATAATCAGTTTTCAAGCACAAACTCACTGAGTTACGTCTTATTTCTCACTGAAAAATCGATTTTGAGAAATCGAGATTATACAAGACATTATTCAAAATTGAGATTATACAAGAAAATTATTGTTATGGTTAAATGCAATTTTGAAAAATATTGGTATGACATTATTTTAGCATAAATTTTGAAGCTGCATTTGGCCGTAATAGCCGATCTTCTTATTAAAAAGCTATGATTCTGATCAAAATCGATTTTTCAGGGCAGAATTCAACACAACTCGGCGAGATTAAATTACAGAATGTCATTCCGATTGTTTTCAAAACTACCATTTCGTTCGTACAACAGCGATTTTCTTGAAACTAAAAGTTTGATCAAAATCGATTAAAGGCAATTTTCAACTTGGCAAGTTTGGATTATTAAGCGTCACTGAGTTTTTTTAAATTCATTTTTATATTTATCTAAAATTATATTTTTGTCTAAAACTATATTTTCTCGATTGATGTTGGAGCATTCTGATTTCACACTCTCATTGTTTTTTCAAGACTTAATTTTAACTTAATGATATGAAAACTAGTGGAAATATCGTTTGCTGAAGTGAGTGTTGCTGATATGTATAATATATATTATTATATATATAACTTTTGAACTATATTTTGATTTATGGTCCCTAATATCTTTTTAAAGAAATTACAAAGATATTTCGGTTGATAAAATAAGTATATATATTTTTATTAAAAAAAAATATTAATATTATCTCAATTTTTTACTCAATAAAAAGTTTTTTAATTTAATTTAATTTTTTCTTGCAAAATAAAAATTTAATTCTAATTTAATTTTTTAAAAAATGATATTTTTCAAAACTTCTATCTATTTACATTATTTATTTATCTATTCTAATATCTATTTACATTATTTTTAATTATGCCTAATTATTTTAAAAAAAAGTTCTTTAAAATAGAAAAAGAAGGAACTCAATTTAATGTTAAAAATAATATATATAAGATAAGTGTATATATATTTTTTATTATCAATATAATTCTCATAATATTAATAATTCTCTTTTTTTTCGGAATATGAGTTTAAATTTTAATTAATGATTTAAATTTTAAAGGAACTATAAGTTTTCTTTCATTTATTATTAATTGATATCTAAAAATTATTCTATTAATATTTTATAATATTTAAATAATATTATTATCTATTTTATTTCTATTTATTATTAAATTTTTACCATTTTTTTAACTTGTATAATAGTTATACTATTAATCCCATTAAAATTTTTTTATAAATATTTAGAATTTAGAATCTCAAAACTATTTAAAATATATTTAATTGTAAAAATACTTAAATTAAAAATATTTAATATAATAATATAATAGGGATATGTGAATACAGAAATTATGGGTCAAATTTAGATCAGGAATTTTTTTCGAGCTAAGATCTTGAAATTTTAACAGGCACATAAATATTATATATTTATATATTTTACATGTATATTTTAATTATAATTATTTATTTAATTTAATTACATTTATTTAATTTAAATATATTTACATGCCATTTTACGAAATTTAATTCAAAAATCGATATTATATTTGGAACATGATTTTTTAGACTTATTTTAATAATAAATTTTAATATATTTATATATTTTTTAAATTCTAATATGTTTTATACATATATAATTACTTATATTGTTATACAATTACGTGTTTTATTTGTAGTGTGTGTTTACTATGCAAATATGAAATATTTTAATATTGTGAATATTAATTCAATGTACTAGAATTGCGGTAATTGTAACTTAATGATATTAAAATTTATATCAAAGTTACATTATAATCATATAACAAAAAATTTCGAACTATTCGTGCATACAACACGAATAAAAATTCATCCGTATGATGTGCGATTATTGCGGTTAATAAGTCAAAGAAAATACAGTACCATTAGCGCAATATTTATCATATTTGATTTTCATTACAAGTGATTAATTATTAAATTATTAAAAAATTAAATCAATTGATTTAAAAAATATTTGTTTAATAATAATATAATAATAATATCATTTTGTTCTAATGAGATATAACAGCATATCACATTCTCAAAGAGAATACAGCGAAGTTATAGCAAAAAATGAATATATAAAATTTTATCTACCATAAAAAAATCATTTTTTTTTAGATATCAATATTTTTTTAGCAATAATTCAAAATTCTCTTCTGGAATTACTGAATTACAAGTTTAATTACATTAGCTAATCAGTGCAATGAAATGAACAATGTGTTGATCCAATATAATGTATGTTTATTTTATAATTATATATTATTTTTCAATTATTTAGTGTTAACATTTAGTTAATGTATAAATTTATCAAAAGTTTGTTTGTCAATGTTAAGAAAAAATATTCAGAAAATAATGATCTGCTAGTATTTCAAAGTTTCAAATTGGGTTTTCAATGAGTAATTGATTTTATTTATTGGTGAATTATTTTTTAATTTAATATAAATTATAATTTACGATTCATTTTTTTATTTCAAATATGATTAATTGTTCATTTTAAAAAAATTTTGATATAAAAAAATATTGATTTTTTTATATTATAATTTTATCAATAACACAATAACAATTAATTAATTAGTTTATTATTCATGATAATTCGATATAATTTTTTATTGATGAAAAAATATTTGTTATATTTAACATGTTTTTTTTTAGATATGTTATTTGGATTTGTTCGTGCTTAATCAACGATATGTAATGAACGCTATTCAACTAGACAAATTTTTTGCATATTATACGAAAAAAAAAAAATAAATATTGCAAATACAATTTCCAAATCAATTTCACTCACCGTGAAGAACTTCCATGACCAAAATGTTTATCAAATCTTATTCTATTAAATTTTTTTTTGTAAGGAACTTTGAAAAAAAAATAAAATATAATTTAATCAATGATAGAAAATATCAAATAAAAACTTCAAAAAGTATGTAAACACTTAATTCACAATACTATTTCTTCAGAAATAAATTACATTGTTGTATTAAAGTTAAGAAACATTTCAAACAATTCAAATATTTATTTTAATTTCTAGATAGTAAATAAATAATTTCATTAATTATTACATTTAGAATATATTATATTTAGGAAGATCAATACATTTTTATTCAGAATTTATTTATCAATCAGAATATCAATTAATATAAAAAGCAGATATTTAAAAAATCAAGATGATTTTAAAATTTCTAAAATAACTCCACATAAAAAACACATATGTGATGAGATATACTCCTCGAAACTATTTAAATCTCGTATCTTATAATTTTTATAAAATCTTCTATTTAATAATTATTTGAAATCAATAAATTAGTTAAGACTTGTATATAAAAATATAATAAAAATATAACAAATATCAAATATATAATTCTATTTCTATCTTTATTTATTTATTTATTTATTCTTATTAATTATTTATCAAATTTTATCAAATTCAAGTTATTTTGGCCGTTTCATAAGTTAATTTTGATTTTTTCTTAATATCAATTTTGAATAAAAAAGAATTGAAAATTATTTTCTTTTATTACAAATATTTTAATAATATTGATATATCGAATTATTAACATATCAATATTTTTAATTTATATTTTTATATTATCATGTGAAGTTAACTTTAATAATTTATAAATCAATTCCTTAAATATGGCTTCAATATCACCGATAAAGCGAAAATAGATTTTTCAAAATTTGTTAAATAAATGTGAATATTATTTAAGAATTCACTGAACGATCATAAAAAATGAATCATAAAAAAAGTTAAAAGCCGATAAACAAGAGCAATTCACTCAAAGAATTTATAAAATTAATTTAATACGAAATCAAATTAATTGTTTTTGATTAAGATATATACAAAACTTACTATATACTTCAAAATATCCAAATCTTTCACAATATATTTTGTTTTATATTTTTATTTATATATTCCAAAAAAGTTATAAATTTTTAATAAAGTTGTTTTATTTTAAAGAATATATATATATTCTCTAAAGAAACATTGAAATACGGAACGGAAACACTATTAATATAACAGAACACTATAGACTAACACGATCTTGAAGAAATTTTGGGAGAAAAGATAGAAAAAAAATTATCAATTAATATAGAAATCGAATCAAATATAAGATCTTCTATAAATTTCAAAGCAGTTTTATAAAAAAAAAATATTAATGAAAATTCAAAGTTTTATTTTAAAATTTTCTCCAGATATCAATTTACATTCTCAATTTCGTGAATTTTTATAAATATGTAATAATGTCAATATTTATCGATAATTATATCAATAGTCATAGTCATTCTTTAGATTAAATATATATATATTATGATATAATACATAATTTTTAATTTCTATCTATTATAATGTTTTCCATGTAAAAAAGAATAAAAACAGAAAAAATATTTTAATTTAACTTTATAATTCACAAATTTTATTCGTGATGAATTTTAGACTTAAGCTCAAATTTGATATTTAGATATATTCACTTTTACTACTATATAACTATATATATTATTACTATATAATTTTTGTGAATGTCCATTCCAATCCAATTTTTAATTTAATAATTAAATTTTCTTTCAGCACATATATATATATATAATTCTGATACAAAAATGGTAGTTTCGGCATAGTATAATAAAATATTCGCTAATTTTAAGTTTATTATTAAATGTATTTCAAAATTTCAAATTATTATAACATAATTTCTCTAGTAAGAGTTTTCATCTTTTCGAAGATAAATCTTTATGATACTATTTCAGCTTTCAATGAATTTTAAAATTTAAATTTGTTAGATTTATTGCATGAATAAAAATTCCAGAAAATGATCATTAAAATGATGATAAAAAATCAGTTTATTATCAAAAATCATTAAAAAATTTTGAGTTAATTTGATTTATTATATCATAAATTTTAATCCGCTGAGATTTATAAAAATATAAAAAATATAAAAAAGATATAAATATAAAAAGTAACAGCTATAATTTAATATATTATTATAAAATAATAAAATTTATCAAAATCAAATAACATTTGTTTAATAACACGTTTTAATTATTAACTATACGATATAAACTTAATTAACAATAAGCATAAAATAAAAAAAAATAATAAGAGTTTGCTAAAATTTAGTGATACTTAACCATTGATTAATTAGTAGTTTCAATTAATTGAAAGTAATATAATAATTAATTGTAGTTAATAATAGTTAATTGTACGAGTGTAAAACAAAAATACATTTAAAGTATCTTTTATGTGATCGAATTTTGACTTTATGTATTCTATAGATTAAAATAGATTAAAATTTATATATAGATTAAAATTTTATGTAAACATATAATATTGAAAATATTGTTAAAGAATTATAATAATAAGTTAAAATATAAAATTAATGATAAATAATATATTAATTTAAAAAAATTAAATTAACAATATAAATGTAATAGTTATTAGATGTTATAATAGTTCCAATTACAAATTAATAAAAAAAAATACAATTTCTGTAATTTCAAAATGTTCATTATTCTTGTCAATATATAATTGACAGCAATAAAAAATTGAATTCAAAACTCTTTAAAAATCTTTTGATTTTGTTTATTTTAACAATTGTTGTTGATTTTAACTTATAAAATATATAAAGTTTGTCTAGAAAAAATTAGAGTATAATGAAAATCTCAAATAAAATTTATAATTTTAAAATATTTAATGCTATTATTTACATATTCATTTTAAATAAAATGAAATAAAAATCTAATATATATTTTTAAATAAAAAAAAAGCTATTATAAAAAATTCAAAAATATATTTTTACAAAAACTTATAATATTATATAGATAATAATATAAATATAGATCATAAAATTATAGTTTATTTCATGCAAAGTCTATTATAATAAATAATTTAAGAACAAATTTAATATAATAAAATTTATTTGTATATATATATAAGTATTTATTTTTATTTTATATTTAAATTATATTATTTATTTTATATTTAAAAATTTTAATAATTTGTATTTTTTTCAAAATGAATATATTGAATTTTTACTATTATATTATTAAATAATACTTTCTAAATGATAATTAAGATTATTAATATTTTATAATAATAATTTATATTAATATATTACATTATCTACTTAAATAATGCATTTTAATCAGTCAGATATTTTTTTTCTTAGAACATTTTTTATTTTATTAAATACAATATAAGATTTCTTAGATTATATTTAAAAAATAAAATTCAATTGATTTTTTTATATAATTTATCAACTTTTATTGTTTTTAAATATTAAATTATTTCATAAAAAGTTTTTCAAATATAAAGTTAAATTCTAAATAATAAATTTAGTTTTTCTTTTACAAAAAAATATTCTTTTCTTTTACAAAAAAAAATAGTATTTATTCATCATATTTTATTAAAATCACAAAAATATACTTAGTTATTATTATTTAGTATTTAATATTATTGAATTAGTAAAATATTTGTTTAAATAAAATTAATTCTTTTAAATTAAATTAATTCTATAGTTGACATGACATAATAACAAATGAATTTCTATGTAGCAGATTGTTTATAATTTTTTGTACTCATTAATTTTTTACCACACATTGCACATATAGCTTTCTTATATGCACATGATTGACAATAATGAGATCCAACTTGATGTACTTTTTGTCTACATATTCTGCAAGTCTCAAAAGTAGTAGTATAAGGATTAAATCTTGCCTTTCCTGCAGAAAGTGCTTTATTTTCTCCGACTTTACGTCCTCCACTTTCTACTGTATTTCTTGCACCATTTTTCCAAGGATCTGGAGTTATGACTTTTCCTAATTTCTTCTCACACTTTTCACAAACCATTTTGAGTTGGATATTAAATTTTTATTCTAGAATAAAATACAATAAAATATTTTTATGTGACTTTTATATTATAGATATAATGTATGTTAATACTTTGTATCTTAACTATAAGACTAAATTTATATCAATGATTATTTTACAAGTAATTTATTTTATGTAAAATGTATAAAAAAAATGATAACTTGTATCTGTTTATATTATATTATGATAATATACTATTTTAGAAATTAGATAAAAATTAAAAATATTGACTTATAATATATATAATATAAAACATTTTTAAAAACTTATTGGAATAGTAATGAATAGATAGATAGAATTTTAAATTAAAATACAAAACATTAGTATAAAACTATATGATAAAATTTGCATTTGTAATAATTATAAACAAAATATATTGAAATAAACTATTAAATAGTATATTAAAATATTATAAATTAATTAATTTTTAATATCTTAAAAGAATTATTTAGATATTTAATTAAAGGAATATTTATAAATTTTACTTATAAATTTTTTTTAAATTTACTTATAAATTTTACTTATTTCATATTTTTAAAATATCAATTTTAAAAATATCAATTAATCAAATCAAAACATTTTTTATTTAATTTTAAAATTTTGTTTACTTCATTTTTAAAGTAATAATCAAGCATATATTATATATTATATATATTATACACATGATTACTTTTCATTTAAACAATAATTAATAAAATATTAAAATAATTAATAAAAAAAAATACTTAACCTATTAAATATTATAGTTTCGTAACATTCACAATTAATAGATATTTAAAAACTTAATAATATAACATTAATACTTATGTAGACAATGTTTCAATTTCTGATTTATTTAATATCATATTTAATATTAGTAAAAATTATATATCAAGAAATATATATTATGCATACATACATATATATATATTTTATATATTATATATATATATATATATTTTACATACATACATATATATATATATATATATATATACATATATATATGTACATATAAAAGTACTTTTTTTAACAGCTATTTTATATTTCTTAATGTAAGAGAATTCAAATTATATTTTGTAGAAGAAATTTTATGATATTTACAAAAATATTTTTATATGTGGTACAATTAATTTATTATTACATTTATAGTATTATTATATTTATATATAAAAAAATATCCAAAAAAATAAAGACTAAAAAAAATTATAATATTTTGATTTTAAATATATATATATATATATATATATATATATATATAAGTATTTATGCATTATATGTTCATTAATTCAAATCACTAAAAATAAATCACACAATTGTTGTGATTACTAATTATTAGCAAAATATCAATATCAATATCAATATCTTTATTTAAAATCACAGTATATTTTAAATACAAACACAATAAAATAGAGAATAAATAAACATCTCATGGAACTTCACGTTATATGTTTTAAAAATACCAACTTAAAAAAAATAAAGTGTCTCTTATATCCTCTATGATTTATTACGATCAATATAGGAATTATGTTTATTTTTAAAACAGATATATAATTTTGAACGATTTTACAATGAATGAAATATGTGTATTAAATTTGTTTAAAACAATTTAGTATTTATGATAAGAAGGAAATCTCAAGATTATATCAATAAAATTTGAAGATAATTCAATAATATAAAAGTAATAGTTTTTAATGATTCAAAAATAACGAATGCTTCATATTTTTTATACTTATACTTTATATTTTTTATATTTAGTAAAAAATAATATAAACATTGACACTAAATGAAAGCATTGACACTAAATCAGCATTTATTTAATGTTAAGATATCATTTTAATATTTTATATAATATAAAAATATAAAATTATATATAAAATTATGCAGTGTAATGTTTAAAATAAATATCAAAAAATTAAAAACACAAAAATATAAATGAAAGATGATATTGCGATTGCATAAAGAAAATCGTACAACAAGATTACAAATATTTTGAATAAAAATAAATCCATGATATTGTATTATAAACAAATTAAAAATTAAAGGAATTATTGCAAACAAAGTTCAAATCGAACAAAAAAATTGATTAAAAGAAAAGAGAAAATTATCATTCTATGAGAAAAAATTCTGTTACATTTTTTCTTCAATTCATAAAATATGAATAAGAAATGATGAACTGAAATGTTTGACAAAGAAATTGCAAATTTTATTGATGAATCTTAAATTGAAATAATATTAATTTTTTTGCTCTCTTCTATATGTTGCTATATGTTCCAAGATATTTAGAACAAACATTTATATGAAGAAATATTTTCCACATTGAAAAATAATGAGAAGAAAAATGAGAAACATTTGGATTTTATTTTTAATTTTAAAATAATATTTGTTACTAGCAATATGTAGTCTACATCCAAATCAATTTGTTCCAAATTATTAATGATGATAGTAAAAAATTTATAGCATTTATCGTTAATCTAATTACATTTTTCACTTTGATTATAAAAAGATTTTTAAGATAAAAATGTCTTATATATGTAAGTAAAAATTTAATTTTCTTGTTATAAATATGATAACGTATATTTGTAATTTTTAGACATGATTACATGGAAAAAAAAAATATGGAATTGGAAAATTGAATAATAAAATATATATTATTCTATTATGATATAGGATTATATGATTGCTAATAAATTTAATATTTATCAATAGAATACTTGATAAATATTTAAATATATTTTTTTGAGAATAATCTCAAAGATAATATAAATAAATTGAGATTATTGAAAGATTTCCATTTTTAATAAGATAATGATTCAAAACATAACTTGAATGAAAAATAAAAAAAATACATTACATTATGAATTATATATAATATTTCATTGCAAAGTCGAAATATCAATTTATTGAAACTTTATAAACTGAAATGTGTAAAAATTTCAAATAATATCATAAACAAAAAAAAATTATAGAAGTATGAAATTCTATTGACTATATTTTTACAAAATCATTAGACTATAATATATCAATTATACAAATTATAGTTAAAAATGGTCCAACAAAATATTAATATTAAGTAAAGTAAAAATATGAAGCATCTGAATACTTTTGTGAGTTATTAATTAGATGTTATTATAAATGTATCATAATTATGGCCTACATTGTTAAATTACTTTTAATACACAATAAATCAATAAATTTTGTTATCTATTATAAAATCATATGTAATATATAAATAATATTAAATATAATATATTTACAATTTGTATATAAATATTCACAAAATGAAAAATTCGTTGAGCATTATAAAATAAACCAAAAAAAAATGCATTTTCAATTTACAAATATAAATTTAAAAATTTAAGTTATATTAAGCGATTTAAGCAAATTTAATTTATCAATGTAAATTAATGAATCTTGCAGTTGCATGAACATTCTCATGCAAATAATTATATATGAAATAAGTAAAAAACAATAATATACACTAAAGAGAAATAATAAATTTATTTAAAATAAGAATAAAATATAGAATATATTGTTAATAAAAAATAATTTTTAATCTTTTATAATAACAATAAGATTGCTTAAAATATATTACAGAACTAAAAAGATATCAAAACCAATTGTTAATTTATATTATTATTTTATTATTATTTTAGTTATTTTATTATAAATTTCTATTATTATTTTATTTTATTTTATCTATAATTAATAAAGATTAGATTTAAAATTAATCTAGATTATAGATCGTTAAAGTTAAGTATATATTATGAATATTTTTTATATATTATTTTTTTGTGAATAACTAATCATAAATATATATATGTACAGTATATATAAGACGAATTTTTAGAATTTTATATCTAATGTAAAAATTACTATAGATATAATATATTAAGAAGTTCCTATATATTCTGATTTAAATGTTATTTATTTAACTATTAAAAATATGGAAAAACATTTGTCATAATTATTATTAATTGATTATTATTTAATTTATTAAAAAGAATTTTTAATTTTTTTTACTTTTTTTTAATTAGAAATAAAGAATTGATTTCGATAATTTTAAAATATATTAAAGAAAATTTTGCATTATTTTTTTCTATATGTTAGGCTTTAGTCTTAGTAGAAATTTGCAAAAAATTATTATTATTAACTAACTAAATTTTGCCTATATTTATGTATCTGTCAGATGTAACATATACTTACATGCATCGATGTGTGATTGCTGCTTATTTATTTTATACACTATTTTTTATAAGAAAACAATGGAACATTTTATAAGAAGAAATTGAAATAATCAAAAAAATGTTTTACAGACAAAAATTATTTAGTTCAAAAAATCTATCGTGTATAATTATTTTTTTTTAGGTTAAGTGATTTAATAAGATTTTAATCATATTTTTTTTTAAATAAAATGATATAATTTTGAATATATTAAATAATTTATTGAAGTATTTCTTATAAAAAAAAAAAATAATTTAATTCTGTCAAGAATTTTAAATCATTAATTTAAAAGATATTTAAATTTAAAAGTCAGAGAATGATATCTTAATTTAAAAATTATGATTCGAATTCATGAGTTGGAAAGATGAATGAATGAATAATGATTAAAGTCTGATAATTGATAATTAACTAGGATAATAAAATCATGAAACATAAAACATACATTCGAAATATATTCATTTTCTTTATTGAATTAAACAAATGTTATATATTGAATTAAACAAATGTTATATTGAATTAAACAAATGTTTTTAATTAGTATATATAGTATTAAACACACAGTATTTAACACATAGTATTAAATAATATCGTTATTGTAACTTAATCATTGTAATTCGAAGTACGAACAAGTCCAATTAAAGCAAATATTAAATATAATAAATATTTTTTCAATAAAAAAATTTTTTTATCGATAAAAAATTATATTAAATTATATTACGAACAGTATATAAATTATAAACATATTTTCGATATTCAGTATATATATTCAATAAACTTCAATACTTTCTTCAATATATGTTATTTAAATTTGTTTATTCAATAGGATATATATATAATCAACGCTTGATTAGATTACGCATTATATCTATGATTGATTAGTATTTTTTATTAATAACTCGTTAACAAAACTGTAATAAAAGTTTTTGCAAAAAAAAATGTTGTTTGAAATTACTTAAAATTATTTTAAAAATTACATAAAAAATATCCAAATAACAAATGTTTCCACATTTTTGAAACACCTTGTATATATTAACGAAATTATTGAAGTAAAAATACAATTTCTAAAAAAAAAACAATCATCCGTTGTAAATAAATATATTAGATATATATATATTAGATATTAGATATATATTAAATTGTAAAATTATTATAGAATTTAATCACATTATTTGATTAAAATCATAAGCACATGCAATTATAAAAAAAATAACTTATCAATAGATTATAATAGAAGAAGAAATAAATTTATCAAAACTATATTTTACTTTGTAATCGATAAATAAATAATATTTTTAGATATATTTTTAAATTAATATAAAGAAATAATTACAAATTAAATCAATAAAATTTAAATTAAAATTAAAATCAAAATTTAATTTTATTTAAAATATAATTTTATTTATATTAAATCTTAATTATAATTTAAAATATAAAATTTTATAATAAGCAATATTTAAAATTATAAAAATAAAATAAAAATTAACAATTAAATTAAGAAAAACTAAGGAAATAGTTAAAATAAATATATATTTTAGACTTAATTTAATGATTAAATTTAGATATTTATATATTGTTTTATATTTATTATTTATCCTTATTTATATTTATTTATTCTTTTTTATATATTTTTTTTATTATATATATTTTTATATTTATATTTTATTATATATTATTTTGAAAACAAAAATTTTATCATTTACCATATGACAATTAATAAGTAGATTTTATTTTTATAAGACATGTAGACATATAGACATTAAGACTATATCAAAAGTTATTTTAAATATTTATTATATAAATATATACTATATTCTATATGGTTTAAGATTGAATTAATTCAAGATGACAATAGAAATTAGAATTTTTGTTATCGTAACTCTCTATATTTGTTTGCAATGTCAAATTCAATGCCATGACAATGTGATTTAATTTAATTTTCATAATAATAACATTTAATATTGTAATAATAAAAATTATATTTTTATAATCATAATCATGATTGATTTATGATATAAAATATATATTAAAAAAAATCATTCTCAATTTTTTATGATACAAAAAATATTACTTTTTCCATTTCTATGTTTATGAGTTGTAATTAAATACTTGCTTATATCATTTAAAATAATTTATATAAAAAATTACATAAATTTATATAAAAAAATAGTTTTAAGTAACTAAGCAATATAAATCTTATATATATAATATATAAATATAAATCTTATAGATCTAAAATTTTGCTTAGAAATATTTCTACATTGTATTAAATTTAATTATATTAATTAATTGATCAAATTATAACTTTGAAGTATCAAAAATTGTCAATTTTTTTTGTTATTTAATAGTTTTTGACAATTGGAATTCAAAAATATGATTTCGCATTGGATAAATTGTGAATATGGCATCATTGTAACTTATCAAATATGCTTAAAATTAATTTTATACTAATACAATACTAATACAATAATAATTTTTGAATCAGTTTCTAAATTTAAGATTTTTTGATTTACTTACAAAAATTATTAAAAGATACAAAAAAATATTAACAATATATATATGCTAAAACATTTGTAGTAAAATATTCATATTAATTATTGATTGAATATCGTCAGATTATAATATTAATATATATTGTCGCAATCACATAAGCGTATTCATTTTATTTTGAATTTACTAAGATTTATTAAGAATTAATAATGAAGAATATGAATGTATGATACAAAATATTGTTTAAACGCGCATTATCTTTCGACTTGCTACTACAACGTTAATTCTCTTTTAACTCTTACTTACTGATTGATTTTTACATCTTGGAAACCGATGATAAATAGATGTCTCTTCTTTCGCATATTTTTTTTTAATCAATATTATTAATATATGTATACTTAATTGCTATTCTGTATTCTAAATATAATTTTAACAAATTTTTAAAAAATTTAATATAAATTTGTCTCCCAAATATTGATATAAAATTTGATATAAGATTTGTTTGCCAAATTATATTAATAAATTGGCATCAAAAATATATTAAAATAAAAATTTTATTTTAATTTTAATTTTTATTAAATAATTGTACTTCAAGGTTTCAAAAATATAACAAATCTTGGAGACAAAATACACTAAAATCTTCTATATATCTTAATATTTACAATATTTAAAATATTGTATAACTAAATTTATATATCTCTAGACTTTATGGTAAATGTTAAAGAATATCATTTTTTAAATAAAGTGCGTCAAAAAACTAATGACAATGGAATAATTAATGTAATTATTGTATCACCATATATTACAATTATTTATATACATCTATATTATTATATAAATCTGTATATTATTATATAAATACTTTTTTTTTTATTTTAAACAGGAACAATTATATTGTTTTTCATTGATAATATTGAAACATAGATAATATTAAATTTATCAAAAAATTATTATATATAATAATTTTTTTAATATATAATTTTTATTTTCAAAATATCATATTTGTACTAATCTCTATATTTATATAAATATTATTACAGACAATAAGATATAACATATAATATATAAATATATAAATATATAAATATATAAATATAGAATGATGGGATTACAAAGACAATAAGTGCTTGGATCAGCAATTAAAATATAAATATTATATTTGTATATGGCTTTATATATATATGTATATATACACCAATGTATGTACCATATATATATACATATACCAAATTTTTATAAAATTTAACTTATTTATATATTATTATATATATTTTTCTCTATTATTATTGTGCATCAATTTTGAAATTTTGTACCAAATTTTGTTATTAAATTTGCATTAAATATTATAATCTTAATACTATAATCTTTTAATGCCAAATTGATTACAATTGTAGCATTATATGGATTTTTTTACAAATCTTAAAAAATATTATTAGAAATGAATGCACAATATTATTTATTAATTCTTTATTTTTATATTAATATATACATAATTATTATAATTATATAATTAATATATAAATAATTTTCCTATTTTTTGTATTATTTGTTTTTTTTTTAAATTTCTTTTAAAAATATCTTTTGCATATTCAAAAAAAAGTTATATATATTTGCAGTTCAAGAAATAATTTCTGTTTTGCATATTTTGCCTTATCATAATGAATCATTAATATAAAAAAGAGATGTGTAAATATGTAAACTTAATATAAACATAATGTTTTATAACATATAAAAAAAATTAATATATATAATTCAAAACTATTATATTATTAAAAAATAATGATAGTGTAGTTCTTTTTATTTGAAAGCAAAATGCAAAAGTAAACAAATTTTAATAATATAATATAGTTTTTATATATTTTGGTCTATAATAATAATTGCAATATATAGTATTATTTCGTTTTTATTGTTTTCTGATGTATTTTCTTAGAAAATAATATATTCTAATATTTATTACATTCTTAGAAGCAAAAAGATAAACAAGATTAAAAAATTCAATCAAATAATATATAATGCAGATAATTCATTAATATGTTTTCGCTGTAAATCTGATAAAAATATTGGTATAAGTTTTAATATTAATTTATTATTGTTAAATAATTTAATAACAAAGTTTTATATTAAATTTGATAATATTTTAATGATAAATTTGTGTCAAAGATTTTGAAAATCTGAAATGCAAAAGTTATTTTTAAGGTTATTTATAAATATAATATATTTTTATAATATATTTTTATAATCATTAATACATTTTGATATAAATTTGGCCTTATTATTGATATTTTAATAATCAATAAAATCGCAACATTTATGATTCAATTTGTTTATTTTCGATGATTTGAATCATTGAAGAATATATAATTGAAGAATATATAATGTTCTTAAAAAAAAGAAAATACGAAAATAAATATATATATTCATTTTTAAATTCTTGAAGTGATTTCAATTGATATTTATAATTACTAATTTATAAAAAATAACTCTTAAAATCATAATAAATAATTACTAAATTGTTATAATAAATAACTACATCGTAACAATAAATAGTTATATATTATATATAAATAATATTTATTATTATTAATATTTTAAAAAATCAATTAAAATTTTGATTTTATTAACTCTCAAATTTGTTTATTTCTTAAATAACGATAAAGATAAAAAAAATGTTATTTTTAGTATAATAAATATAAATATATAATGATATTATAATTTTTTTATTTTAATTTTATTCATAATTTAAAAAAAAATATTTCTAAATAAAATTCTCTATAAAATAAAAAAATTAATAATTTACAAAAATATATAATTATTATTTATTTATTATTTCTTCAAATCCTTTGAAATCCCTATAAATAGGGGAAATATAAATTGTTGTGATAAATTATGTAAAATATTTTACTTTTTTAAAGATAAATTAAGTCATTAAGTATAAATTATTTAAGATATACTATTTTTAAGTATTTTGTAAAAAAATATAATATACATATACAATATATATATATATTAAAAAGAAATATCTATAAATTTGAAAAGAATTTATTTTATTATGAAATTGTAATTGATAATATATGATTACAAATAAATGTATTACTATTATATATTTTTTTTTTTCTTCTATATATATGTTCATAATTATTTTTTTAGTTCATTAAAATTTTAATAAACAAACTAATAATATGAAGAAATCTAATAATAAAGAATTTTACATATTAGAACTGATGCTAACTTTTGATTTGATTAGAATCATACGATTAACCCTCTAATCAAAAACAATGAGCAATGTTAGTGGAGGTAAGAGGGTTGAAAGAAAATTCGACGCTAGGAGTGGCGTACAAGTATGGGCGCCATCTATTCGTTCAGTATCTGACTACCCTCTGAAGACTTCTGTACTCGCGATCGTATTACTAGATTATTACGATATTTCGTGTGACAATTTAATTTAGTACATCATATTATAACAGAGTGACAAGAGTGTATGTTTTAGAACAAGTATAATGAGGTAAATATAAACAATATAAAATCTTTTTAAAAAACGTATTTTATACGGCTACTGTCCTCGATGCCAGACACGCGTTAACATGTTGGATCGATTTCTCTTCTTTGCAAGTATTACGATAAAATATTCTATAGAAGATTTGATTACAATTTTGTAGTTCTTTTATAATAGAAGTAGTCTAGTTTCTTTTTATAATAGAAATACTTGCATTTTGATTCATGTTTTTTTTTTCTTGTTTTTATTGAATCTGTTTGAAAATGAATAATTTGATATTCGAAAAGGTCAATTCACGAAATCTCTAGATGAAAAGACGCTTACAGTCAAAGCTTTCCTTTTTTTCTTTTGTAAAATTCTTATTATAATATTCTTCATATGATAACATCAATAAAAATTTGTAGAAATTTCGTCGATTTATATTTATTTCGAATATAGTTTTAATTCAATACAGCTTTTTTTTATTTCTTTACTTACAAATAAGATTGTTCGATCGATTTTTTTTCGAAATTTTTAATTATGTATTAAAAAAATTAAATACGATTTTGATATTTTTAAAACATAATAATTTAAATAATAAATAATTCTTATAAATATACCATACAGGATTTGCATTATTTACGATGCTTTCATTTTAGAATAGATACAGAAATAACTATTCTCAGTACTTTAATCGAAAAGAATAATTACTATAAAATACATATTTCTTTTATATAATTACATAAATTTTATATAGAAATTTGAAGAATATTTCTTTTTAATATTTCTTTTATAATGTTTGTTTTCGAATTTGAATTTAAAATTTATTATTAAAAATAAATATATGTATTTATGTACATATATACATATCACTTATTTTTTACAACAATAATATAACTTAAATTTATAAAATTTATAATTTTTGAATTATTGATATCATCAATTATTATTATTTGTATTTTTTATTTATAGAATTGTGTGAATGTATTCTCAAATTGTATATTTCTAACTTAACTTAATTTTTAAGCAAAATTTATATGTAATTTTATAACGAATCAAATCATTTAAAATAATTTTTTCTAAAGTCATAATTTTTGAGTTGTTATTATTGCAGCAGATGAGCAATATGTATATAATATAAATATTAGTTATTATTTTATATATTATTTTAAATGATATTATTAGATATTATTTTTAAATGAAATTAGAGTTTTTCCTTGAAAAAAAAGGTTAGAGATTATTGATAATAAATTATAAATTATTATTAAAAAGTATTATAATTACAATTTTACATTCTATCACAATAAACTTATTTTTTATATGATTTTCATGAATAAATTATTTGAATATTTAAAAAAAATTATAATATATAATTAAATTATTTAATAAAAAAATTATAATAATAAAAAAAATAATTTAAAATTAAAAAGAAATTTGTTATATATATAAATATAATTTTGCATTAATTCTATTATTAATTATAATATAAATGTATATTTTGTTGTATTTGTTGTTTAACATCATTATCTACAAAATTGCATTATTTGGAATATAGTAATAATTTAATTTTAATAAAATTAGTAAATAAAAATAACAATAATTTATATAAAAATTTTATATTATAAATAAAATATAATATTTTTAATTGGTATATATATATTTATTTTATTTATTTTTAATTTCTCTATTGTATTTCAATAATTTTTTATTTCAATGAAATTTTTAAATTATTATCATATAAATAGAAATATTAAATTAATTTAATAACTATTGCCAAATCTTTTTTAATATTTTCTTTATATGTATATATAACATTTTTTATATATCATCTTTTAATTAAAAAAGTTTTAATTATTGAATGATTTAAATTTATATACATTTATATTGATGTATATAAATATTATTTTTATTTATATTTATGTATATCTATTTTTTTAAGTATGTATGCTTTTTTTTCTCTAAAAAAGATATAATTTTTTATATTATTGTATTATTATGTGTTAATGTTTTATATACAATTATATTTATAATTTATACCATATTATTTTTATAATATACATTATAATTTATGTTACAATATTATTTATTATGTCAATTTACATTTTATGCTAGAAATATTTTATTAATTATTAATAAAATATTAATTTTATTAATATTAGAATATTAATTTTTAAACTTTTATTTTATTATCTTTATTGTATATCTTCAAAAAAAGCAAATAATAAAATCAACAAAATGTATTATTATTTTAACAATAATTTAATTATTGTTTACATAATTATAAAATTAAAAAAAAAATGTCATTATATCTGAATATGATTATTATTATTATATTATGTTGAATATTATATTTAAATAAATAATCATAAATAATATAATTTAACAAAAACTGAATATAATATTTCTTAATGCTTAGTTCAGATTCATTATTCATTTATTATTTATTTATAATTTCAGAAATAAAGGAAAAAAATTTGATATTTTTTTTCTTAATCATTTCTTTTAATTTTTTTTATTATTTATTATTATTTTTTATAATTTCAATATAATCAAATTAAAATATAATTGTAAAATATAAAACAAAATATATATTATTATTTTTATTATAAAAATCTCAGTAGTTCGATTAAAATAATTTTATAAAATGAAAAATATAAGTTTTGATATTTTGATATATAAATTTTGATAATTCATTATTTTATGATATTTTAATAAAAATATTATCAAATGGTTAGTCCGTATAGCAAAATTCTAAAAATTGCTAAAGATTACAAATAATAACTAAACAAAGTAAAAATATGTCGTAAATAAAATATACCAAAAATATTACGTCTTAAATAAAAAATATCAATATTATTAATGCTTTATCTCGATTTTCATAATTGTAAAATATATGTATACGGTATTACACGCGATATGCACGCGCGTGTAAATAATAGGCAAAAAGCAATGAATGTATAAGAGTCAAATTATTATTTTAGTTAATTTCAAATAAAACGATTGAATATATATGCACAAAATATTTCATTACAATTTGTATAAAAATTATTGTTTAATCCATACAAAACTTCTTTAAATTTCGTTTTTATGTATATATATGTATATATATATGTATATATTTTTATCAGTTGATCCATGTGGGTTTATATTTAATTAATTGATTTATTAATGTATTATAATCAGTCAATATATTCATATATGCATATATTTACTTATATGAGAATCATATTTTTTTTGTTTCTTCTATAATAATAGTTATATTTAGAAATTAAAAATATTTGTTAACAATTAATTATATATATAATATTATATATATAATATTATATATTATATAATATATATAATAATAATAATTATAATATAACTCTTTTTCGTATATGATTTTCTCTTTCGTATATCAAAAATATCGACCGAGAGAATGATAAACGCATATTCATGTCAACTTACTAAAAACTTACTATAAATTTAAAATTGCAAACATAAGAATTTGAAAACAATTTATATGAATTATTATATATGGAAAAATATTAAATAGAATTATATTAATATATTAAAATAATTTTATAATTTTTTAAAATTAATCAATTATTATTTTTCCTTCAAAAAAACTGATAATTTTCATTAAAATATTTTATATAAATTTATAAAATTGTTTACAAATAAGAAAATAATATATATATGTCAAAATAAATATATTTTTTTTATTTTATTTTTACATAAATTTTACATTTCCATTTTAATATTAATATAATTTACAATTCTAAATTTAAATAAAATATATATATAGATATATATAATGTAATAAAACATATTATTTATTTATTAACATATATTTGTTTATTAAAATATTATTTGTTTATTAAAAAAAAAGTGTAATATATTTGAGAGAAATTAAAAATAGTTTTAATTGATATTAAACTGCTCATAATTTTATTTGTTCATATTTTATATAATATAATATATAATAATATAATAATATAATAATATATATATATATTATTAATAATAAATATATAATATAATAATATATATATATTAAAAATAAAAATATAATATAATATATATATATTAAAAATAAAAATTAATATATTTTTTAATTTAAATATCCATTTACTACATCTACTGTAGTACCTATATATATTATAATATGTATATATTAGTGTATACATATAAAGATATTTATATATAATATTATCTTTAAGAAAAATATAAATGCATATTTAAAAATAACTTTTAATATCTTCTTTTGGATCATTTTTTATTTATTTGTTATTTTTTTATTTTTTAGATTTGAGGAAAGAGGTTTTGTGAAACATTAAAATTTTTTTATTTGACAAGAACGATTAAAAAATCAAAGATAAATAAAAAATAAATGAAAAAAAAATGAAACAATAATAATGACAATAAAAATGAACAATAATAAATTAAAAAGTTTTAAAGTAATATTTTTATAAATAAAAATAAAATCAAAAGAAAAAGAATATAATTTAAATATGTCATATTTTGAAATTTAATATTTTATATTTGTATTATATAAAATATAATTTTTTCAAATTTTTAATTATCTTAAAAATAAAGAATTTAATTAATAAATATATAATTTAAATAATAGTATAGTATTATAAAATACAAAAATGTAAAATTATAATTTTTTTTAAAAAATAAAAACTACGAATATAGTAAATTTGAAAGTAAAATTAAATATTTTTATGTTTCTTATTATTTATATGTATTAATTATATATATTTTTAGATAAAATTTTATTCGAATTATTGCATGATTTATTTTATTTGGTTTTAATTTTCATTGTTATTAAAATTAAATAATATTACATTATAATAAATTAAATAATATTACATTATTAAATAATAATTACATAAAACGTTAAAGGAAATATTAATAATTATTCCATTATTCATTTTATTTATCTCAATGCATGTTTTTATTATATATATAAATATAAAAAGGTTAGGTATTAATAATAAGATATGTGAGATATAGATAATAAATGTGAAGATGAAGAATTATAATAGAGTATAGTATATTAGAATATTGATGAATATATACATGTTAAATAATAACAAATATAAGTTCGATATATGTATATTAATTATAAAATGAAGCAAAATAATACATATAATATAATAGTAAGCTATGTAATAAACTAAAATAAATTTTAAGATGTGTCGATTGTATTTTCTGATGCCAGTGACCCTCTATCGATTCCATACTCAACGAAGCATGGGCCAAACTTGCGTTCTCTCATGTTTTCTGTTATTCTTTCTTGTATTCATCTTTCTTTCTTTCTTTCTTTAATATTTCTTCTCTTAGTTTCCATATTTTCTTTCCGCATTTTTTATTTTTTTGTTATCTTATTCTATTTATTTGTTTTGATTAAAATTGGTTTTTCTTATAAATTGTATACTTTCTTTATTTATTTATTTTCTTCTATTCCTTTTTTTGTATTGATTTTCATATTCGATTATTCATTAGTAGTACAATTATATATTATTACATATATATACAAATATAAAAATATATATACAATTATATATTATTATATATTATATTATTATTATATAATTATATATTATATTATTATATATTATATTGATTATTATATAATTTTTTGAATTAACTTACTTTTTTCTTATATACATATATATACATATATATACATATATATACACATATAATATACATATAATATAATATAATATACATATAATATACATATAATATACATAATATTTTTCTATATTATTATCTATTTCAATTTTATTAATTGTTATAAAATTAAATTATATATAATAATTATATATAATATTCTATATGTTATATTTAAATTTTGTCACATAAAAATCACATAAATAAAATTATAATAAAAATTTTATTTGAATGATATGTAAAGTAAAATAACGATTTATAATATCGAAAAATAATAAAAATCTCATGTGTAAATAGAAACAATATAAATTAAATTTATAGTTGGATAAATAAACATTAATATATTAATCTTAATATACATTAATATAATAATTTATCTGTTGTATTGAAATGATCTCAATTTTAATGAAATAAAGTTTCTAATGTAAATTTTATAATATTTTTAATAAAGGAAAACTTTTTATTAAAGACAGAAATTAAGTGGGCGGTGTTATGTATTGAAAATATCATATACAATGCATATATTTAACTATCAATAATTTAATCAATAACTGAGGTATGTACTGAGCTTTATGTTTAGTTTAAAGCTGTTCAACTTTATAATTATTTACAGTTAATATTATAATAAATAGCACAAAAGTACAAAATTTTATATTATATTTTTTTGTTTTTTTTTCTTGATTTATAATCTTAAATGTATTCTTTTATAATTATTTTATGTAAAATATTTTTTTATTTAACAAAATAAAATAATTTAAATTGAATAAAATAATGCAATGCATTATTTTATATAGAATAATTCATGTAACTTGCACTTCAAATAATTTTTATACAATTAATAAAAATTACATGATTTGAAAGAACAAATAATGGTCTATCAACATTTTTTTTATATGTGGTTTCAAAATTTTCAAGATCAATTTTAAATAAAATCATATATTTTTTTCATTATAAATCAAAATTTAATATTAAATTTTAATGTTAAATTTCAAATAAAAAAACGATTAATCTGTTGGTCCTAAACTTAACAAAATATTTTATGATAAATGATATTTCGAAAATGAAGATTACGTATAAATGGTTAAAAAATAAATAAATTTTAATTTATTATTAAATTTATTATTAAATTAAATTTAATAATTTTTTAATAGACGTATAATTTGAAATTTACTTGAGATATGTGAGTAAAATATTATATTAGCTATAATTCTTATATATATAATTTTATATAATTCTTTAGAAATAATAAATAAATTTTTCAAAATTTTAATTGTTTATTCATTTCATTTATTATTTATTTCATTCTATAAAAAAGATTTATCAATTAATTTTTTAATTAGGATTAAGGATATAATATTTATTATATTATTAATAATTCATTTTTTATTAAAAATTCATTTTATTATTATATATTAATATACATTAATAATAATGAACTTATCGATGTATTCTCCTTTCAATTTTAATAAACTTGAAATATATATATATATATATATATATATATTAATATGTTAATTTTAATAATTTCTAAAATAAAAAAATAATTTTATCGAATCAATTAATAATAATATCAGTTAATAATAAATAATAAAAACAAGTTAATAAAAAATAACATATTAATTCTATTTACATTTTAAAATTATTTTCATGAAATATGTAACATCTTTCTTATAAGAATATTTGATATTATAATATCTTGTATGATTCAACTATTAATATCTTGTATGATTTATAATGTTTCAGAATGGATAGGATATTAAGAAAAATGAATGTAATGTGGCGATGACAAGTCTGATTTTGGAAAACGCAGATTTGAACCGACTTTTCCCAAAATGTCGGCCTAGGGGTGGTCCACCCCCGAGTCCGGGGGTCTCTACACAGATTAATCAGCCGCATGAGAGCCTCTGTCAAAAAGAGGCCGTTTCTATTACCACCAGCTTCACAAATATTTCTGCGACGACATTCACAAACACTCTTACGATTACTACCCTTGCAATTGCTTCCAAGAACACACTTTCAAAGCATTCACGTTCGATATCTGAAGACATGATCGACCTCGAGCGTGATATCTCCGATAGGTAAGCTTATATTATCTATCATTAATTTATCAATCATTGATTTTTATCAATTATAAATAATGAATTACGAAATTTTTTATCTTATACCAGTTTAATTTAACTATATTTAAATAATGTTATTAAAATCAAAATTTTTGAAATATCGCATAATAGATTATAAAATATAATAGTAATTTTTTTTTAATTAGTTTAGTAATTATAATAGTAATTTTTTTTAATGAAATATCACTTTAAGAATGTGAAATCAGTTTTTAAAATATTTTCTTTATTTTTTTTTTTAAATATAATTTTGTAATGATATGAAATGATAATTTAAATTGAATAAAATAATGCAATGCATTATTTTATATAGAATAATTCATGTAACTTGTACTTCAAATAATTTTTATACAATTAATAAAAATTACATGATTTGAAAGAATAAATAATGGTCTATCAACATTTTTTTAAAACAAAATTTTAAATTATATATAAAACATTTAAATTTTGGTCTGTAAAAAATATTTTCAAGAAATTTTATATTAAAAAGATGATATAAAAATAATAAGAATTTAAAGATTGATTTCAATTCAAATAAAGATTTTTGAATTACAAATTAAATTTCATTATAAGGTAAAAATATGAAGATTTTTAATTGATGTATTGAAATTTATTATATTAAAATCTAATATTAAAATTTATATTATTAGAAATATTGTATAATTTTTGATTCTAATTATTTATAATTTTGTATATTATAAATTATATATAAATATACATTATTTTACATAATATATTTGGAAATTTATAGAAAATTTAAAGATTATAGAAATTAAAATATAAAAGTTACAAAAATATTCATTTTTTCAAAGCAATTTAATTTTACAGTAGTTGATGATAATAGAATAAATCTTTTATTCATTACAAAATTAAATTATTTTTGAATTTATTATAATACTTTGAATATAATAAGATATATAATTACAATATTAATTTAATATTAAATGTAATATAATTTTATATTATTTAATTATATTATTAATAATAATATAAAATTATTATATATTATCTTGTATATAATTATTTATTCAATGTTCATAAAAATTTCATAAGAATATAAAAAATTCAATGTTTAATTATTTATTATATAATATATATGTATTTTAGTTTAAATAATTTAGAACAATTATAAAATATAGGAATAAAAATGAAATTTTGATGTTATAATTATATTTCAATGGAAATAATGATGATAATGCTAATTTCAAAGTACTATTTTCTTACAAGACTTTTTTTATATACTTTTTTGTAACATATAAATGAAAATAAAAAAAAACATTGCAGTCGAATATTAATAAAATTTTATTTGTTCTTCCAAAAATTAAATCCAAAACTTCCATAAATTTAGAGAGATTTTTTTTATTTATTTTGTTATAATTTAAATAAAAAAATAATTAATATTTTTTTTTAAAATAATAATATCATATAAATAAAAAAAATAATTAAATAATTTTGTTGAATATTAATGATTTTGAAAAATATAATAAAAAAGTAGTTATAAACCAATTATAGATATTAATACGAATTAATTTTTTTTTATTTTTGTAAAATGGAATCTAATATTTTTTTTATTTTTCTCATTATAAAAAAATATTAAAAAATCAGTAAGAAAATTCGATAAATTCACACAGAATATATTAAAAAAATATATTAATATTGATTACTTATGCATTATGATTTATATCATATATACTTTAAGTTTTATTTTACTAATTTTATTTATATATCTTTTAATAAGTGAATAAAGTATTTTATAACTAATTTCATATTAAAATGTACAAAAAAAAATTAAATAAAATACAATAAAAATTAATAAAATAATTATATTTAATAGTAATATTAAAATATGAATTTATAAGAAATCAAATAAGTTCTGAACTAGTTTCACATATGAAAATTTATTTATTTTTTTTATATTATATTAATTTTGATTAATTTTTTAAATGTTGAATTAAAAAACGATAAATTTTAGTATTAAATTTTTTTAAATCTTTTATTTTTCTTTTATTTTTATTTATTCAAAATATATTAAAAATATCTTTTAATAAAATTGATATTGATTTTTCTTTAAATGCTAAAATAATCAATATATAAGAATTTAAAATTGATATAATAAATGAATCTTATTTTAATAATTATATTTAAATATAATGATATAAAGAAAATAATATAAATAATAATTAATCATTATTTTTGTTTTATAGGACAACGAGTATGGTATCTGGTTTTACAGGTGAAAGTCAACTAACTGTTGGTGTCAGTGGTAATACAAGCAATGTTGGTGGTCCACTTGGAACATTTAACTCACTTGGTACATTTAACATAAAACCACTTTCTTCAAGTTCCTCATCTACCTCTGGACGTAGTGAGGATGCGCAACAATATGGAAGTCTCCCAGGTAGTGATCATCAGAGTCACTCTCAGCAAGATGATAGTGGACCTGAGGAAAGCCCTGTATACATTTTAACTTCTGCTAAAGGTGATCGCAGTTATAAATTAAGAGATTCCAGGTAAGTTATTTTATTTCTTATTTTAAAATAAATAATAAAATATTTTTTTTATATTTGTGAAATACAAATTTAATATATAAAAATAACATATAAATATAATAATAAAAATAAATATTTAATAAAATTTATAATTTTATATCTATATACAAATTTTTAAGAAATAAATTTAAATATATTAATAATTTCTAAGATTAAATTCTAGATGATAATAAATAATAATACTTTTAAAAAATATAAATAAAAAAATGAATTTTTAAAATTGTAAAAATAATAAAATATTTAAAAATATAAGATTCAAAATATAATTATATATATAAATAGAATTATTCATAGAATTTAAGTTTTTTCAATAAGCCATATTTTAATGAAAAACTATTTATAGTACTAAAATATACTAAATATTTTTTTTACTTTATTTATATATATTATAATATTTTTTTTACATAGTTAAGAACATACGATATTATATAATATAGAATGACAAAATATATCATTCTATTCTTAATGATTTATAATTTCATGGATTATTACTCTATAATGAATTATAAATAATAATAAATTTTGTAATAAAATTGTAAAAATATCAAATCTCTAAAATAATGTATATATAATATAATAAGAAATATGATGATTTTAATAATATTATAATTAATATATATTCTTTTATTTTTTCTTTTCTTATCTCTTTCACTCTGTTTTATATTTAATTTTATCTTTTAGATATTGTTTGTTCCAATATTTCCAGAATTTATTTTCCTTTTAATATTTTAAATAGAGAAATTAATTATTTATTTATTATAAATATATAGTTAATTCTTAATCTTTTTATATTTAAATTAATTATTGAGCATTAAAAAATTAAATATTTACAAATCATTTATTTATATTTTAAAACAATCGGTAAATCTGTCAATGACATAACGTTCAGTCGATAAACATTATGCATGAAGCATGTGATATTAGGTTATATTGTGTCATTTTTTGTTTTTAAATTTAGTTTATGATAATTAATAATAAATAAATATTATATAAATTGTTTATTAATATAAAAATAAATTAATAACGAAGTGTAAGTAACAATAATATAATAAATAATATATCACAATATAGTTTTTATTCTTTGTTTATATTATTTTACAAATATATCAATTTATTTAATAATGATTTTAGTCATAAATAATTTAAATCTTATGATGAAAATTTATTTTAAATATAAATCTATTAAATAATATATACAAAAGTAATGCATGAATTTTCAAATGAATTGATAATTTTCAATGAGTTTTAATAATTTTTTGTAACAAAACATATCAAATAGTAGCATTAAATATTTTGGTTAATTATTACATCCCATAAAAATTTTATATTTTAATTATGTATTTTTTTTCTAAGAAAAATTATAAAAAAATTTAATTAATTTATAAAAATTATAAATAAATTTAATTAATTATATATTACTGATANTTATTTTATTTTATACATTTTTGTAATTATTTCATATTTTTATAATATAAAAATGTAATATAATATATAGATATAAAAAATCAATTATGATTTTTGAAATTGTATATTCAATAAGTAAAATATTATTTATATATATTATTTATATTATGAATATGAATGTTAATAAATAGAATATACATAAAGTATATTATTACATAATTATTACAAATTATTACATAAAGTAATAATAAGATTTAATAAAAAATTTTGTTTTATTAAAACAACATTGAATTATAAATTTTTTATAAAATATATTATAATTAATATTATTTTGTAATTATTATTAAGGATTATTAAATTATTATTAAGTTATTTTCACATCTTTTTATAATATTTTTGCTTTAAGACTTGTTATGTGAAAAATTTTTTAAATAATTTAGAAAATTGAATTAAAGATTTAAAAATTTAATTAAAAATTAATAAATATCCAAATTATAATTTTTCATATTATAATTTCATGTCTTGTTAATTGAAAATAAATTATAATAGTTTTTATGTCATAAAAGAAAAATATAATGTGATTTATGACATAATTATTATTATTATTATATGATTATGACAAAATAATTTTTTTAATAATTATTGATTATTAATGATTTTTATTATATTATAAAATTATTTTAATTATTCAACTTCTTTATATATTTACTTATAATAATTAGCATAAATTTTTTTATAATAATTTTTTAATATAAATATATTTTTTTAAAATATTTTTTAATATTCTTTTAAGAAGAAGAGTGAATATTATTTATATATTTTTATATATTTTTTACTATTTATTTTTTAATATCGATATGACATTATATATTAATAAACTTTTTAAAGTTAAATTATTTATTGAAAAGCTTATCAATAATATGTTAATAATTAATTTTATATATTAATAATTAATGATATGATTCAATCAAATATTGTAATAATTACATTACATATTGGTTATATTACAAAAAATTTTGATTTATATCATAAATAATATATGTATGTAATTAATTATATTATGCTATTTATTCTTGTTTAAAAGAATCTTTTTATTGATTTATAAATGAAATTAAATAGTTTCAAGAAAAAAAGTTCTTGAAATAATAAAATAATTCTATTTTATAATATACATATCTGTTACATATATTTGATATTTATAAAAGCTAAATTTATTATTACATGTTTATTTTAAAATTAATTTTATTATATTATAGATAACTAGAAAGAATAAAATTATTACAGATTTTTATAATTACAATTTTGATAAAATTAACCTGATTATTGCAAATAATTTGTAATTATATAACTAATTTTGAATAGTATTATGAAAGAATAGTGTTATGAAAGAAATTTTAATATTGTTTAAAAATTTTATTACATTTAATTATTTAATCTTTTTATTTAATATTTTTATATTTTAGTTTTACTTAATATATTATAAATATTTGAAAAAATATTTGAATTATTTAATATATATATTCTATAATAAATAAATATAATATATATAAATAAATATGGATACAATTAGAATAATCATAATAAATAAATTTAAAATATTATTTTTTTCGTTTAAAAATTCATTTTTTATATACTTTTATATATATGAACTTTTCATTTAATAATCCATATTATATAATATTTATTTAATCTTTTGCTTAGAAAAGAAAAATTCAAACAATTTTTTATTTAAAAATTATCATTATTTTATTATTAGAAATCTAATAAATTATATAAAATTATATAAAACATAATAATTATGTTTTAGAATTATAGAAATTGCTGGTGGACGAGAAGTTTTTTCTCAAAGTCGAGGTAAAGTAGCAGCTAGAAAATCACGATTTCTTGCAGCATCAAATTCTTTAAATAATGAAGATATTCAAATAGACAACAAGCTATCAGTTAAAAGAAATAATAAATCTCCAAATACTCAAACTGTATGGGAGTTAAGAAGCCGGTAATTCAAAAATTATTTTTTATGTTTTAAAATTATTTTTACATAATATTATATAAATAAGATCTAAATAAAAAAAATTGTATTTTTTAAATAGATTATTACATTTGAAAAATAAATTATTATTTTTTTAAAAAATTATTATATATATAATAATTAAAAATTATACATGAATGTAAATTTTTTTAGATGTGGTGATACAAGAAAACAGCGTTCTAATAGAGAAGTTACAGAAACTGTATTTTCTTCAGAAATACATTCAGTGCGACATAAAGCAAAATCTATTGATTATGATTCCCCTAAAAGCAATCAGAGCAATCGTATTATTAATTATGACTCAATTTTGAATAGCAATAATGTAGAATATGATGTGTCAAAAAATACTGCAGATTTAGATTATGGATTGCCAAAAAGCTGCATAGATTATCAATCAAATCATACTACACCAGCAAGAAGCATGGCTATTGTTAGTGATGGTGAAGTAGTTGTTTTTGATGATATTGATGATAATTGGCAAAATTTACCACTAGATTTAACTAATAACACTAATCAAGTTACATCAACTAATTTAAATCTTGAGACTGAAGGATCTCAAAAAGGTTGCATTCCTCCAGAACCTTCTAGCATTGAAAGTACTCCAAGTCCAACAACAGCGTATCATCGTAATACTTCGGAATTTTTTAAGGTATTTCATCTTATTTTATTTAATATATTTATCTTTATATTTAATAATAATTAATATTTATTTATAAGCTAATTAAAATTTGTTATATTGAAAAAATATAATACAGTTTATAATACAGTTTATAATAATATATATAGGATATTAAAATTATTTAAAATAGTAAAATAATTTAAAAATGAGATATTATTAATTTATTGTCATATGAGATTATATATAAAATATATTTTTTTAGGTGATTCCAGCTAGTGATTGTGAAGTAGAATCATCATCTTCAGAACGAAATCATAAAGTTACAAGAGTAATTGGTGAATTACCAATAGCACAATATTCTGAAAGTCCAAGACGTTATGGAATACGTGATACTCAACTTCCATGTCTTCTGTCATCACCATCTGTATATATGACACCAAGACCTGGCTTTCCACAGAGAATATTACCAACAACACCAAATCATAATGAGGTATATCTAAAATAAATATAATTTTGTACATTATAATATATTTCATAAATATAATCAAATATAATATAATAATAAATATAAAAGAAATAAATATATAATAATAATAATAATAATAAAATGTAGTATTTTTTTTTGATTTATTTTTTTATATAGATTCATCTTTTTTTGGCTTATATATTATTAAATCAATAATATCCTCTATATATACATATATAAATAAAATATACATAAATATAAAGTTATATATACATATAGATATTTAAAGTATCAATAAGAATTATTATCTAAAATAATTTATTGCCTATTAGTGAATTGAATGAAAAAATATTTTAATTTAGCAATAATTTAAAATTAGCAATATAGCACTTAAGAGATGCATTGAATGGATTTCTACAATTTGATTTTTATATCTTACTTTTTTTTTGAGATATCAAGATTTTTGCATTTTTCTTTTTAATATCATGTTATAGAAAAAATGAATTCAGTAATCTATGATAATCTTGTTGATAATAAGTTGATTTTAAATTGAAAAATCAAATAAAACATTAAATTTCATTTATTTTTTATTTAGAATATGTGTTCAAAGTGTTGTTCTTATATTTTTTTGCATTTTTTCAAACGGTATCGCAAAGAGACGAATGTTCAGGATGAGAAAACTTTCTTTCATAATAAGCTTGAATATGTATAGCATTTTTATACTATATTTTTTTCACATGTATCGAATTTTGTCATTGTATGTAGTATTGTTAAGTATTGTTTTATATTATTAACTCAGAAATATAAATTAAAAATATAAAAAATTAATGTTTATATTATGGATTTGGTTAATACTTATTAATTTTGAAAGAAATATTGCGAAATTACAATGGATTCACTTGGAATATTTCAGCAATTATTATGACATAGTTTTGATTTTATTTGATTTTGAAAATCATCAAGATCAAGATCATCATATGTTATTGGATATGTACAATTGAATTTGTTTTTTCACCGACAACAACATAATATTAAAAAATATATATATATATATATATACATACATTGAATTTGAAAAAAATCACTTTAATCTCAAAAAAATTGTATTGATTCAATGTGTTTCTTAAAATGTTATATAATTTATTAAAATCTTTTTATCTATTAATTTAATTAATAGATAAATTATTTTATATAATAATTTTTTATTCATTCTATATATAAAAGTTTATAGAAGTAAATTAAAAGAATATATTAATATTGAAAATTTTTTATTTTATTTTATTACATTTGTGTTTATTTTTAGAAGGAACATACTTCTGCAGAAATCATCGTAGAAAAGGCTGTGGTAGAAACAAATATGAATTATTCTGATAATCATGCTGTAAATGCCTCTTTTCCATCTCCAAAAATTGAAGATGAAGAAGAAGACTCTTTAAAACCATCAATTATTTCAACAGATAACATAAGTAATTTAGTATCATCATCAGGTGGTAGTACATTTGATTATTTATATGAATTCTCAGAAACTCGAAAAGTACTCGAAGAATTTTTTAAATGTCCACCACCAACAAAGGAAAAGGAAAATAGTATTGAATCTTTTCCATTTCAGGTACAAAAACTTTGTTTATTTCATTGTTATTATAATAATACAAAATACTATATAATATAAGACAAAATACAATACAATTCATAAATTAAGTTTTTTCTTCATTTTTGTTTGAATGTATCTATAATATTTTGTCTGATCATGAAATTTGAAAACAAGTTTATAGAGCTATAGATATAAAAGAATTTTTAACTATTAGCTGTATTAAAAAATGGTTTATTTATATTTAAATTGTTGCAAAAATGAAAAAATAATGATGTATATATTACATAATAAAAAATTGATTTTCTTTATGATAAATATATTCATCATACATAGCTAACAGATTAAAGACAAAATAATGCTTTAAAAATCAAAGAAATTCAAAGAAATCTCAATTAGAAAGACCGAAACATTTCCTTTGAATTACTTGTGGATTTTTAATGGAAGTACTATTAAAAATATATTTTTATAGTTTTGACTGATTTAATTTAGAAAGAATATTGTATGTTTGTTAATTTATTAAATTTGTTTTTAGTTTTTAATGTTGCAGCAAATAATTTAATTCTATGACGTTAATTAATAATCTTTACTAAAAAATATTTTATGATTTTATTTTATTTAAAATTGATTTTATTATCTATTATTTAAGGATCTAGATTACGAATTACGAAGACAAGGAGGAAGCGCTTATGTTGGTCAACGATTGGCTACTGGTCCACCAACAATAGAAGAAGTTTTAGTACATGAATCTCCTAAAAAACAAAGATCAGATTTTCCCCAAAATGTAAGGATATTTATATAAAGAATAAATAATTTCTAAATGTTTAAGTAATAAATATATTATTTATATAATTTTTTATATAAGCTAATTATTATTTGAAATTAAATTTTGTTGAATTTGAAAATTATTCATAAGAAAGAAATAAAATATTTTATTTAGCATAAAATTATTTTTCAAATTTTGATTTTGCATTGTTTTAGATTGCTGAACATGAAAATAATTTCTTAGATCTCTCAGTAGGCACTGGTAGTAGTGAAGATCTCGGAGAAACAGAGGTTGGACTACAAGTTGGGCACTCTCGCAATTTTACATTGAGTCCTGAAACAACTGATTGCGATAGTAATTGTGGAGATCTTGATAGTGAAGTTTCTTTAATGATGATGGATAATGAATTGATACCAGCTAGTGGTCTTCTTGGATCAGTGGGTGATTTAGGAAATAATTCAGATTCATTGAGAATATATGCTAGTATGCCAGTTCTTGAAGATGGCTTATCTAGTGGACATGCCAGTGATACTGATAATAATAATCCAACTGTGATGTTGATGAAGCGGCAAATTAATGAAATTGAAAAAGAAATTATTCAACGTAGTCGTGTCAATGATACTACTTATCCAGTCACAACAGAAAATGATTCAATTGGAAAAGATCTTTCTAGCTTAACTGTTAGTAAAGATATTTTACATTCTTTAAAAACTTCATCACCTGATTTATTTGTTCCTAAAAAAGAAAATTCATATGATACAAATGAGCTTCAGCTTGATGGTTTAGATCCTCTTGGCACGCCTCCACCACCAGCACCTCAGGCTAGACAAAGTGTTAATCTGGAAATAGGAGGTGAAGTTGAAGCTGCAATTAAAGACATTAGAATGACTTTACAGAGAACTAAGACTTTACCTGTGAAATCTTCTACAGAAGAAATACCTGAATCCAATGTCAGTCCAATTTGGATACCAAGGTATTATATTTTCTTTCTTTTCTTTCTTTTTTAATATTTAATATTTCATAGCTTAAATATTTATAGAAAATCAATTAAGCAACATGATTACTTCAAATAATTTGTAAATTATTTATGAAAATGTATCATAGAATATCATAGAAATATTATATGATATAAAAGAAGATGTAATTTAATGTTATTTCTTTATAAATGAGAATAGAATATATAAAGATTTATTAATTTTGTTTTATTAATTGGAATTATTTTTTTATATATTATTTTTTCATATTTTTTTATATATTAATCGTATTTTTTTATATATTAATCGCTGCAGATTACTATATCCTAAAAAAGAAGCTATTTATAAAATATTCTAAAATAAACTATTTATTGTAGAAATTGTAAATTTAAGAGATATTTTAATTTAAATTTATTAAATTTATATAATTTATTGTATGCAAGATAAATACAAAAAAGAGTATTGTTTCTCTTTCATATGATAAGATTTATAAAATTTAAATTAAAATATCTCTTCAATTAATCTCTCCAATAATTTTTTATAATAAATAACTTAGTAATTTTTTTTAAAGAATAACAATCTATAATGATTAGTTATATTAAAAAATTGATGATTATTTTTATTAATTAGAAAAACAATATTGAATCTTTACATATTCATTTGCAAAAAAATTAATAATACTAAATTACATTCTCTTCTTCATCATGCAACTTTTTTATGCAACATTTTTATACAATAAATAATTTACAATTTGTAATGATTATATTAATTGCTTTAATCTATATATATAATATTATTGCTTAAATAAATATATAAATAAAAATTAAAACAAACTATAATTTTAATTATATATATTTTAATTTATTATTTAATTTATTAGTTTTATTATTTATTTAAAAATAAATAATTATTTACTTAAAAATGAATATGAACTATTAAAAATTACAAATATGAATAATGTATGTAATATAAAATATTTTTTTAATTATATAAAAAATTGTTTTATATGTGATAATATTTTTTTAAATTTATCTCTATAATAAGATATATTTTATTATTAATATATAGATATTATTGTAAATATTATTAGAATTTTATAATTTAATTTTATAATTTACAATTTTTATCATAAAAGATTAATTTGAATGTTTTAATAAGTATATAAACAAAATATATAATTTTATAAACAAAATAATTATCTCTTAATAAATAAATTTTAATTTAGATTTTATTATATTACTAGAGATCATTAATCTCCTATCTTTAACTTTATTATTAAGTTAATATAATAATAATGTAATATATGTAATATATGTAAAATAATGAAATCTAAATTAAAATTTTAATTTAATTAATTAATTAATTTAAATAGATAAAAATATAATATACAAAAGTTTATAAAAAATTATTTTACACAAAAAATTAATTAATTATTTTTATTTTTAATTGACATGTCAACACGATATGTATAATCACAAAAATATTCGGACAGATTTAAATAAATCAAGAATGTTTTGAGTATAATTTTTTATATATCAAAAATAAAAAATTTGCAGATTTATTGTTTGTATATTATAAAATAAAAAAAGAACAATACATTTTTAATTTTCGAAAATATTCAAATATATGTTATAAATTTAAGTTATTAAACTAAATTTTGTATTAATATTATTTTTATGTAAAAAATTAAATTATTGAATGGATGAAAAACAATAATATTAAAGAAAAAAATAAGAAAATAAGAATAAAAGATAAAATGCATTATAATTAGATTTTAAAAAATTAGATTTCAAAGAAAGATTTTAAAATATTAAAATCTTTGGATTTTAGAGATTTTAACTTATCGAAATTTTCAAGAGATATTTAAACGAAGGAAATTTGGAATAATTGGAATATATAAATATATATATATATTTTAATTTTAACTTATATATTGTATGCTAAAAAAAATATCTAATAAAAAATATAGGATTTAAAAATTTGAATGTAGCCTTCTTTAACATATTTGAAAATCAAATAATTATTATCATGATATATTCCGATATTATACAATTTTCATCCGAAATATTTTTTTGTATTTTTGTTATTTATAGAAATAATCACACGATTATATATTGCATTTTTATTTTCGAATACATGTATTCTTTTTCACACTTATTTTCATTATCAATATAGATACATACTCACTTTAATGAATAATATATATTACATATTAAATAAAATATAATTAAGTAAAAATATATTAAATAAAATAAAAATAAATAAAAATTTGTTTCCATTTTATGTTATTTGAAATAATTCTAATAAAAATTATAATAATTATAATAATAGAATTCTAATAATTCTTGAAAAAAAAATAATATCGAATAATTAGTTTACATCTCTTTAGTGTTATCTCTTTAGACGTGTAAATATAAGTTTGTAAAAATAGCATAGATACAAATAAAAATAAATTTTGATTTATAGAAGCCTATATCAGTTTAAGTTATAGTTATAGTAAAATAAAAATAAAATAATATATTTGAATATGTGATAAATAACGAATTAATTAAATTTGAATTAAAGTAAATTTTATTTCAACTTATAAAGATTTTAATAGTGGAAAGAAAAGAATGAAAATTGTATTCTTATAGAAATTTTCGAATTATAGGTGTTCTTGATATATCGATTTTGTTTGACTGTAATAACAAAATATAATTTTTAATAAAAATTACTTAAAATATATTATAAAATTGAGAAGAAAAGTCAATATTTAACTTATATAATAAATTGCTATTTTAATTATTTTAACTTCAGTTCGTAGTATAATCCAAATCCAAATATTTCTACAATAAAAATTTATTCTTTCGATATTTTCTTAAATATTTAAACAATAATTTGTACTAAGATAAATTTTTTTTTATTTTTTAATATTATATATTAATTTTATATATTATTTCAATATATTGCAAAACATATTTTTGGTTATATATATTTATTGTAGATATAGATTATAAAATTCAAAGTTATATCATTATCCGAATATTTTTGTGACAGATTGTATAATTACTTTTTTTTAAGAACATCTAACTAAAATATAGTCTATCGGATGGCAGACGGAGAATTTGTGTAGAAAATAATAATGAAGAATCGGAAATTCGTCGTACGACTGAAGAAGCAGATATAGAAATTGAGGAAGGTCCAGATGAAGAAGAAGCAGATACTGACCTGGAAACTGATCGTTTACTCGGACAGCAAAGAACGGACGATCAGGGTTTTTATGATGATAAGGTAAGATCTATATGTATAATAATAATGAAAATTTTTACATACAATTTTTTTTTATTATAAATAATATAGGTTTTTAAGATCATGATCTTATTGATTGATAAAATAATGCATAAATAAAGGAATAAATAAATGTATGTATATCTCTAAGATTAATTTTATAAAAAATAATACATACGTATATAATATAAAAAGAAATTATTTTCTATCTTTTTCTTCTAAAAAAAATTTATATTATTAATAATCAATTCTATTTATTTTTATGTAACAATATATATTAATGTTTTTTATTTCTTTGATAATAAACTGTCATTTTTGTTTTACACAACTTTGAAACTTTGAAATATAGACATATTTCATATTATTAATTTATAAAGTATAAAAATAAAATCTCTGAAAATATTAACAAATATTTTATCTGTTAAAAATTTTAATTGATTTTATTTGATTAATATGAATTTTAATAGAAAATTGAAAAATCTTTATTTACTTATTATTTATTTGATAAAATTCTTATAATAAATATATTGTTGTTTATTTTTTTCTTATATGTAATTATTTAATTGATTATAAGAAAATTATTATTAATATTATTATTATAAATAAATTATCAATACACTAAAAAGTATTTATTAATTCGTAATTAATTTTATTAATTTGTAATGTAATTATGTATATATTACAAGCAAAATATTTTTTATTAATAATAATTCTTACGTTATATAATTTGTAGTTTCAAAATTTAATAAATAAATTTTTATGAATCTTAATCCTTTATTTAGTAATATCAAAAATTATAAAATTCTTTTCATGACTTATTATCTATTATTACAAATTAAGTATAATGTAATTGTAGACAATTATAAATTCGTTCGTCATATAAATATTAATATACTATTTTATACATTATAATCTTAATTTTTCTAATTATTATTATTATTGTTGTTGTTGTTATCATCATTATCATCATCATCATCATCATCATTATTATCATTATTATTATTATCATCATTATTATTATCATCATCATCATCATTATCATCATCATCATCATCATCATCATCATCATCATCATCATCATCATCATCATCATTATATTATATAATATATCAGATGATTATATATGTATAATATAATATTTGTGGGATACTTTTGAAAAATTAAATTAAATTCTAGAAATCAGACAAATACAAAAATTAGAATATAAAAATTTCGATTGAGATTTAAAATAAGCAACTGAAATTTCCATATAAATAAAGTAAGACGCATATAAAATGAGAAATATGTTTAAAATTTTTATGAATGTTAAATTAATGGATATTTTTGATTTCACAATTTTAAAGTAGGATATTGGAGACATAAAATCAATAAAAAATTTGCATAAATATATTTAATTTGTAATAAAAAATTATAATATCAAAATCAAGGAACTGAATCGTGTTAAAGTTGCTTTATTTTTCATATATGATTTAAAATATTTGAAAAAATGAAATAAAAAAATATTTTTATGATTTGATTATATATATCAAAAAAGTATGTATTAAATCAATGATATTAATATTATTAAACAAGCAACAAATTCAAAAGAAATTTTTTTCACAAAACTTTATATTCTTTATATTATATATTTTTTATAGTAATAAATGGCATAAAATTTATTATTAATAATAAAACGCATTAAACCTTTAAAAACATAATGAAATTTAAAATAAATTTTAATTGCAAAAATCTGCGATTTGTTATAAGACTTATTTTTCTATTGGAAGAAAAATATGAATTCTATAGTCGCATTTTGCTTTTCATGGAAAAATATATTTGCCATTGAATTTTATTTATCTCAAAGATTTAATATGATTTAATATGATTAGTAAGAAATTTTAAGATTTAATATCATAATGATCTATATAAAAAATATAGGTAAATAGTGTTTTGAAAATGATTTGATGTCGATAAGAAAATGGAATAAAAAATAATTTTGCAATAAAAAAAGTATTCAAAAATATTAGCATGATATATCTTATATATCATAATATGTCCTTTGAAAATATACAATATTTATGTCAAATATTTTTTGTCATTTATAGTTTTCGAAATATTTATATTATATTATATTTTTTTTAGATAAAATGAACATATAACGTAAATTTAAAATAAATTAATATTATTAATAGTAATAAATTTATTTATATGCAATGATATTAATTTATTTTATTTTATTTAAACTTAAAATCTTTTTGTAATGTATCTTTTTGTAAATTAAAAAATTTATTTTAAAAATTACTAAAAATTATTTATATTATTTTTTTATTAATTTTTTAAATTATTTTTTTATAATTTTTTTATTAATTTTATTAATAGTTTTATTAAATTTTATTAATTTAGTTGTACATCATACTAATAAAAATATCATACTATAAAATCTTTAATTTAAAATAAATACTACTTTCTTCTTTATTAAATTAATTATTAAGAAATTATATAAAATAAAAATATAAGATGATATATTTCGTCAAAAAATAATGATTTCTGCTTTTTATATTAGATATATACTCGATCACTGTATCTCTGTCTCCTTTTATCTTTCTCTAACTAAGCAAACTTCAATTTGTTTATAATATATAAGTCTCGATCAATTTTTGTATGTCAACTTTTGTATTCGTTTTGGCATCCAAAATCAATTCTTCAAAGGTATTCCACGATTATATTAACACTCTATATATATATATATATATATATATATATATTATTATTATTATTATTATTATTATTATTATTATTATTATTATAAATTATAAAATTAAATTAACTTGAAATTTGATTTAAATAATGAAAGTTTAAAGATAAACTTTAAACTATAAACTTTTAATGGATAATTTTACACGCCAATTTTTTTAATTTCTTTTAATTAGAATAACTTCTTAAATTTTTTATGTACTGTTTAAATATCATATTATATATTTTATAATATTGAAATTCTAAATAACTTTTATTCATTAAAAAAAGTAAATGATTTAGAGAAATTACCATATTTTGATATATTGTTAAAATTTTTCTCTTGTAATTTTTAGAAAATTTTAATACGTTATTTATTAATATTAACAAAACAACTTGTATAAGTATTTTTTCAATAGCTTTGGTATATATTGTTAAAATCATTTTTTTGAGTGACTTTCAGAAAAACTTAACATTCAGTGTTTAAAATTATTAATAAATAAAATTGTTTAATATATACTTAACTTGTTATTGTTTAACATATATGTAATTTTATATATCATATTTTTAATGTTTGGATTTAATTTGAATTTTTTATATTTGATTATAATTCTAAAGCTATTGTAAAGTTATCAGTTAGCAATTAATTGTAGTAATACATCAAATTTAAATTCACTTAATTATATTATATCAAGAAATTAAAAAAATCATTAAATTTTGATCAAAAAATTATTGATTTTTGAACTGTTATAATTTTATAAAAAAAATATATAGTATAGTATTTTCGTGTAGTATTCTATTTGGCTCGATTTTAAAACGCGAAATCTTTAGTTTTATTCAATTTTATTGTTTTGAAAGTCATTTTTGTTTTATAAGACAGAGATTTTGTTTATAATACAGAGAAATTGAAGTCGAAAAACTGAAATTTTTAAATTTTATAAATTCAAATGTTTTTATTTCTAATTTTTTTGGAATTTATTTAAAATTTTATAAAAAATCTTCTATTTATAATAAACTTCGAAAAATTGATTTACTGATTACATTGGAATATAGATATATCATAAAAGATGGCACGAATTTGCAACTTATATGCATATGGTATAATACATCAATTCAAATTAAATCATTCTAAACATTAGAAATATTAAAATTAAACATATGTCAAATGTTTTTAATTTTATTTATTAATAATAATCTTTTTAATAATGATTAATAATTAAATCCTTTTGAAAAAAATTAATGAGCAAATTGATCTTAACAACATAAATCAAGATCAAAAAAATAAATCTCATATTTATTAATGATTAATCTTTATTTTTATAAATTTTTATTATTTATGTATGTATTTTATTATTTTATATTATTTATTTTATATTATGTATTTATTAATGATATTATTTTTAGTATTATCTTCATATAAAAGATATATAATATTTAGAAGTTATATGAAAAGAATATTATACATAATACATAAAAATTAATTTCAAATTAAATTTAAAATAAAACTAGATAAAGGATTAAAATAAATAAAAAAAGAAGAATTTAAATACTTTAGGTAATGCATGATTTGTGTATGGTATTTTATTTTAAGATTAAATAGATTAACATGATAAATATAATTGGTGTTACATAGGGGTGGAGGAAGCCTAAAACTAGGACAATGTTACCACCGATGAGTGGAAAACTGTCAACTCCTAAGCAAACCCCCCCAAAAAGTCTAAGTGTCGTTCCAGTAGAGAGCTCATTAATACCTTCGGAACCGTTAGCTTCGACTTCCACTTGTGTATCCACTTCCGCTTCTGCTTCTATTTCACCTCCTCCTATAGTTTCCGTTATACAATCAACGCCTTCTGATTGTGATGTTATCACTTCCACACAATCTGCGACAAGTCCACAGAAGACTACAGCCAAAAATTCTCCCTCGTCCCCTCAGAGTCTCAAGGAATCCAGCAACAAGGTGAAAAAGGTGCCTCTTCAATTATATTATATCAATCTATTTTTTTTCTTTTTTTTTTCTATTATGGCTGATATTATTTATATTTTACTTTTCATTCAATTAGTCTTATTATTAGTTATTTTCAATTAGCAAATAAAGAATTTGACAAATTAAACGTAAAATTTAAAATTTTTAAAATATTTTAAAAAAATTGTAAAATACAAAATAGATAGTTGAGAGATTAAACTTATGAAAAAATTGTTTATTTAAAGTTTGTGTAATATAAATAATTTTTTATATATAAAATAATGACATTAATCTTGATAATTTTTCTATATTTTTTAGTTTTTAATAATATATTTAATTTTTAATCAATATTATAAATGTATTATAAATATCTTCAATGTATAAATATTCAATTTATGAAAATATTTGTGCTATAATATTAATATATTTTTATATTTCATAATAGAAAAACGTTTAATTAAAAACTAATGTTTGATATGAACACATAAAATAAATATATACAATTTAATTGATCAAAAATTCATAATTTTACTATATACTATATATTTACTGAATAATTTAATATATTAAATTTGTTTGCAACAAATGCTATCGTTTTATCATTATGAATAAAAGAATAAAAAATTTTATTTTAAAAATAATAACTTATATAATTTTCAAATTTCTTCTATTATTTCATTTATAGAAAATTATTTTTATATTATAAAATATTTTTAAAAATTATTTTTTATAAAACATCAGTTATATAAATATATTTTCAATAGTTTAATTCTTTATTAAAATATTTTATTATATTTTATTATTTATTATTATTTTCATTTAAATATTATCCCATATATTTAAAATTTTTATTTTATGTCTTTATTTTTTTTTTAAATAATATGATAGTAATATGATATAATAATATTTTTGAAATAATAATAAAATGTAATATCTTACATATAACTATAAATATTCATAAAATGTTTGTAATCTTTTCTATTATTTAAATGAATTAATTATTTTAGTATTAAAATAAAATAAAATATATTCTTCATTATTAAAATTAAATTTTGTCATAACTTTAAGATTAAAAAAATATAATTTTTAAACAAATTTTTATTCTTAATTTTGAAAATAGATGATATAATATTAATTCAATACTAATCTAAAAATACATTTTAATTAAATTAATAATTGATTATAATTTAAATATAATATAATTAAAATCTTAATTCAGTTTTTTTAAATAATATTATTTCTTTTATTTATATGTTTATTTTTTATTTATATTTATTTATATGGAATCCAATGAAAATAACTTCCATTTCTTTTTCTTTTTTAATAATTGATTGTAGATATAAAATTAATCCAATCTAAAAATATTAATATATTTTACAAAATATATTTTACAAAATATACAAGCAAAATAATAATAAATAATTACTTAACATAAAATACGCATATTTAATTGCTATTGAAATGTTGAAATGAGTGCTATTAATAATTTTTGTTATTTTTATTATTATTATTTTTTTATTATAATTTTATTATAATTTTTTTATTATAATATTATTTTTTATTATAATTTTTATATTAAAAACTTATTAATCGAATTTAATATCATTTAAATTGAAAAATATTTTGAAATATAATATTATTTATAAATAGAAAAGAAAAAAATTAAGATTAATTTCCTGATCTTAATGAGCTTGAAATATGTATTTAAAAGCATTATTTTGAGCAACATTTATTCTTATATATATTTAGTGATAAGTTTTAGTTTTCGAATTATAATAATTATTTGGACAACGGTCGTTAACTTCGATGATTTAAGATATTATAGAATATATTGTAGAATATATAGAATATATAGAATATATAGAATATATTATAGAAATTAATATTTTGAATAAATTTTTTTTAAATATATAAATGATGCTCAGTTATAATTTTCAAGATATTTACTAAAAAAAAAAAGATTGCATTTAATGCATAAAAGTTTATTTATATGTATCGTAACGTATATGATGTAACAACTTATTTACTATTTCTATAGATACATAATAGCACCCAAAAAAATCAACAATTAAAAGGATATATATTCACTTTTTCATGGATTTTGAGTATTCAATTATTTTATGTATAATAAATACTTAAATAAAAAAAATCTTTTCATAGGCTTAGACATTGCAGATTCTTTAGATCAATGGAATATGAAATAAAGTAAAATAATATAAAATATAATATAATATATATCATAAAATATAATATAAAAATAATATAAAATAAAATAAAATAATTTATAATTGATTAAAATTTGATTGAATGATTCAATGATTGAAATTTCAATAATAAATAATGAAATATAATAAATGAAATATAGCTATTTTTATAATTTCAGTTATCTAAGAGTTGTTTTATATTTTATTTATACATTTTCCCCCGATTCAAATGCCAAATTTTGCAATGGATAAATACTAAATGTAATGATATTAGTTTTTATATATATATATTTTGAATGCTTATATATTTATAGAATAAATAAATCGCATACTATGTATATACTGTTATGAATATATATATTATGTTTAAAATCCATTTTGGCTTCTTATTAACTCTAAATTTCAAATTTGTAAATAAATAAACAATAAGTAACGGAAAAGTCAAGTAACTTGGAATATTATGATATATAATGATGTATATATATAAAATAATCTTTTTTTTTTTAAATATTTTCAAAATATTCAAAATATCGATTGATATAAATATTATAAGTGATCGATTATATTTAAAAAAAGTTATTCAGAATTTTGTTCTCTATAATCATTAAAATTGAAAAGGAAATAGCTTTTCTGCAATTTCACACATTACTCATAAAGTTTTTTGTGAGTAATTTGAAAATTGAAACTGATCATTGGTTATATAAAAAAGAAATTGTTCAAAATGATATCTTTTACAATATATTTCAAGATTATTAAAATTATAAAGAAAAAGATGATTGTTAAATTCACCTAAATTAAAATAAAACTAAATAAAATAATCATTTATTATGTATGATTTTATTAAAAAATTAATTGTCTTATTTCCCATTTTCAAATCTATTATTTTTTTCTTCGGATGTATTACATTTTTTAAAAAACATTTTATGCAATATTAAATGATATATTATATTATAATATTAAATAATATTAGAACAATATATATATATACAAATACATTTATATCTACTACATTGCGTCATTTGAAAAATTTGTGTCACTTTTTAAATTCAAAAAGTTTCAATACTTATCAGCTTTGATATTGCAATGATATTCGTATACTTTATATACAGAGTTTATTAAATGAATTCGAACACTTGGTATAATCAAGAAATAGAGTTACGGAAAAACATTGCCTTGACACAATAAATTCTGATGTGAAAATCTTTTTAAGAGTTAGAATTAGTAAAAATCATAGATAGAGATTAAGATTGTTCAGGCAATAGATACATATAATGAAAATATCTCTTCGGTAATCTTCATAATTTTTTTATCCAAAAAATGATAATGGTAATTCTTTTAATGTTCTTTATTTAAATAATCTAAATAATATCCAATTAGTGAAACAACGAAATAGCATTACTCAATATCAAAAAAATTTAATAACATTATATGATTTTGGAATTAATAAATTTCAAATATTTCTTTGACAGATTTTTTTTTTTTTGCTGTCTAAATTCATTTTAAGATTAAAATTTAGCTATTTTTTGATTTCGTATTATAGTTTATAAATTATAAAAAATAAAAAAAAAATTTTCAGACAAGAGTTATTTATTTTAAGGAATATGAAATATGAGGAATATTATCTAATAAAATATTTTTTAATTATTTATATAATTAAAAAAAATTATAAACAAAAAAATTAAATTTATTTTTAAATTCATTTTTCACTTAAATTGTAATTAGTAGTTTAAATAACTATAAAATAATATAAGAAAAAATTTTTTTTACAAGTATAAATTCAGCAAAGTATAAATTTTGCTGAATTGCTGAATTTTGTTTCCCAATAATCATAGAACTTCTGAATTCTATATACTATATGATGAACAAACCTAATATTTACAAATGTAAGATAATTTATATTATAAACTTCTGTTTTTATTATATAATGAATAAAAATATTATTGAAAATAAAAAAAAAAGTTATATATAACTTATTTTTATAAAAACTTTATATAGTTGCTTTCTTTTTTATTTTCTTATATAACAGATATTTATAACCGGATTTAGTAAATAATTAAAGAGTAAAAATATTCATAATATCAGAAAAAATCTATAGGAATATCACAATTATTTATATATTTTTTTCCCGTAAAAATTTTACATGAAAATTTTCTGATCTTATATTATATATTTACAATGTAATATGTGCACAAAATACTGTTATTAAATTATAATCTTTCATTCATAATCAACTTTTGCCATTAAAGTGTTATAATATATTTTATATACAATATAAAAGTGAATATATTAGTTAAAAAATTAAATAATTTTGAAAATCTAATAAATTTTATTTTTTCGCAATGATTTCATACAATTTCATTGTTCCATATATAGCAATCATGTTATTATGCAATAAGTGTATTAAATTTTTATATTTTGAATATTTTTTTGAAGAATTTCATTATATTATATATAGAATTTCTATTGAGACAGAAACAAGTTTAAATTTATTCTTTTTATAATTAATAAAGATATAGATTATTAAAATAAAGTATACATTAATATTAGAATATTTTTGAACAACTGTATATGTTTCATAATATAAAAATACATAATATATAAATAATATATAATATAAATTATTTTATTTTTGTAAGTATTAAAAAAACTTTGTTATGCAACATACAGATTAAGATTTAAAAGTTCCAACTTTTATATAACTTGTATAATTATCAAGAAACAAAATTCAATATAACAATATAAGCAATATAATAAAACTTATACTTTTTATTTTTTTGTTTGTAACTTTTTTCTAATTATATAAATAATTTATAAATTTTTTACACAATATTATTACTATTCAATGAGTAATTATTGTCTAAAAATTTTTTCTTATAATTATAATTTTTATTTCTTATAATTACAATATATATAATATGTATTTTATTACAAAATTAAAAAGTATTTAAATTTTCAAGCATCAATTTATTATATATTATTTTATTATATATTATTTTAATTTTTTATATATTATTTTTATTTTCTTAAAGTGAATTTATGTATATATGATATACACATTATATCTACATATACACATCATAATTCAAAAATTTTTATAATATTTTAAATTTCTGGAGCCTTTTCTAATTAAAATAGTAATTATGCAATTTAATGGTTTTTTTCAATTTTAATAATTTTATTATAGTTTTTTTTAAATAGTTTTGTTTAATTAAAACAAGAAATCATTCGGAAAAAATTAAATATAAAATAATTCTTGGGCGATTGGCGAAAATAAAATGAATGATATTATAACAATAGATATTATAACAAGATAATTAATATTTAGATAACAATACTAAATATGAAATTAAATAGTGTAATGATTTTTGAAATGTTTTAGTTTGATATCGAATCGATAAAATATCGAACATCATTGGAATTGATATATTTCAAGTTTATCAACATTTATGAGAAAATTTTTAATTGGTTCCTTCGTTATATTAATTATTTGTTGTTACAATATGATTTTTTTTAACAAAACAATAAATAATAATCGCATATTTAACTATACACTATCACAGATGAATATGTTCAAACAAAATTCTATAATTACATAGAATTAGTATTAACTAACATATGTAATACTCTTTTTTTTTAGAAATGACAAAAATTACTTTTTTGATTTTTCTGTTTGATTTTTTATTTTAATAGTAAAATTTGTTTTCATTTAATAATAATAAAATTATAAAAAAATAATAATAAAGTTTAAAAAAAAACTGAAGTGAAATAATGAAAACTAAAAAAAACTGGTAAATTTCATAATTAATTGTTAAAATTTTTTTCTTGAAAATTATTAAATTTTCTACATGATTTATATCGTAGTGATATAGATTCTTTTCATAATAATATATTTGCTGCAATTAATTGTAATTTTTTTTTTTTTTCAAAAATTGTACAATATTGATGAAAATGAATTTTTTATAGTTTTTTTTTTTATTGCTTTATATTCTAATTTACAGAATGTTATGCATTCAGAAATAAATTCGAGACTGTTTTTAAATATATATTTAATTTGAGAAATATATTTCAATATATTTATATATTTCATATATTTCATATATATTTTTCATATATATCATTATTTCATATATATTTCAATATATTTATTCAATATATATATTCGTATATTTCAATATATATATTCAATATATTTTCAATATATTTATCATTTACATTTATTTACATTTACTATTAATGTACTATTAATTTATTTTATAATTTATATTTATATTTTATAATTTATAATTATATTTTATAATTTACTATTAATTTACTATTTAATTATATAATGTATTGATATAATGTAAACGATATTTTTATTCATTGCGACAAAATTTTTGAATGACTTATACATAATTATGCAAAAAAATTTTAAATTATATATTCACTAATCACGTAATTAATTTATAAATATTTTTATGAATTATTATTATTGTGCAAAATATTTAAAAATATAAACAAACATTCATAAAAGTTATGTGATTGATAGATAAATGGTTTTAGGATATTACATATTTAATGCATGAAATGATATTTCATATTCTTTCAATTTGATGTTTACATTATCAAAAAAATACAGTTGTGTCGGTATTTAAATAAACTCATTTATATTTCACAAACTTACAACATTCATTTTTTAAAAAATTATTTATTATCATTTTTCTGATTTGATGTTGTTTTGATGTTTTTTATATTGTATTAATATTAATTCAAAAAATATCACAAAGTATACAGACTAACATTGCGTTAATTGTATATCAATAATTGTGATAATTTTTATTTACAATAATAATTTTTGGAACTTTTTACAAAGTTTAGTCATTCGAGTAAAAAGTAAAAGTAAATTATCGTAAAATAAAATTTGTTTCAAATTTATTATTATTTTATTTCATAATTAAATTTACATATGATTAATTTTTATATATCAGCAGTTTATAAAATTTTTCAATATATCAAAAACAAAAGAATTATATGTATCAAAGAAAACATAAATTTTTAAAGAAAAAAAATAGAATATCTTTATAAAAATATAAAATCTTTATTTTATATTTTTATTTATTATTTTATTTATATTTAAAAATAAATTATTATTGATTGTGAAATAATAAAATAAAATTTTTAAAAAAGATTTTCAAAAGTATGGAGAAATCTATCAATTAGAAAATATAATTAGAGAAAAAAAGAAATGAGAAAATATGAAAAAAGTAAAAAAAATAAATTATCAATTTCAAAAAATCAAAGAAAATGTATCATTATCAATATTTATTAATAGATATATGTCCAAATATTTAAAAAAAAATTTCTGAAGTAAATATATATAAATGTATATTAAGTTTGCTAAAAAATATTATAAATAATTAGTATCAGTTTGAAAATATATCATTTAGAGTTATGAATTTAAATATAAATTTATATTAAAAAGAAGAAATGATGAAAATAAGAAAACACAGTTAAACAAAATTTATATTTGTGATTGTTTTAACAATAAACAAGTTAGATATATCATAATTTTTGATATTATTTTAATTTAAATAAAATTTGTATTTGTAATTATTTTAACGATAAAGAAGTTAGATATATTACTTTTTGATATTCTAATAAAAGGTAATAATATTTAATAAAAAATAAAATATATAGCTGATCTGAAATATTTCTTGAAGATTGTTAAAAAAATATTAAAGAAAAATAATATATTACAACTTTTTTATTTGCCATAAAATATCAATCTATAGTCAATGGAATTACTTTTTAATGGATTGATCAACAAATATCATAAAAAAAACTCCACACGAAAGTTAAATTTATTAACACTTTAAAAGAAATATACAATAATATCAGAATATATTAATACATAGTATGGTTTGTTAAAAATTATAAAAGTTAGAGACCATCAAGCATTTATTAATTTTTTTATATTGTATAATATTATAATTTCATTTACAATTATTGTAGACACAATTTACGATTCGACAAATGCTTGTTTATTTTGTCGTTATTTAGTAATAAAATTATTTTATTATTAATTATAATATTATTATCGTTAAAAGCTGAATAATATATTTTTGTTACGATAATTTTTTATTTATTTTTATTATTATTTTTCTTTATTTTTTTTATTATAAAGATAAGTATTAATTAAAATACCAACACAATTGAAAATAAAGAATACAATATTATTAATTATAATATTATTAATAATTATAATTATTAATATTATTATTATTAAATCAATATTATTTTGAAACATATTTATCCAGACAATTAGATTTTTTAAAATTATTGTATGAATTGAAGCATTTTCACAATTTGTATAAAAGTACATATAATAATTATGATATTAAATAATAAATTTTTACTCATTTTACTAAGAGAATTAAAAATTGTATGTTTGACAGGAAAAAGAAGAGAAGAAGAAAAGCAGAAATAAGGAAGGTAATGAAAACTATTTCTATATTTGTGAGTACAAGCAAAATATTTTATTTTTATTAGTTATTAATATTTTTCGTAAAATTATTATAATAATATCATAAATAATATTAAAATAATAATTTGTTGAATGAAAATAGTCATTTATTCGATAGATAGTTAATTTTAACTAGCATTCTTATTATAGTAGTATAAAAGTATATGTAATCATGTTAACAATAACTTATATAATTCATATAATCGAATACCATAAAATTTTTTCATCTCTATTTTTTCCATTAGAATTCAAAGTAGCATATATCGATAAATATCAATAATATTGATATATTACTTCTTTAATTGCTGTCGTCGATGAAATATAAATTTTATGAAATACATGATTAATAAGTGATTTTAAGATTTTTATATTGTGATGCAAGATTATTTATGAGTAATTAAAGATATTATTAAGGATTATGCATGAACTAATGATATTTCATTAATTTTTTAACATATATTTTCAAAATATCGTTAACATATCAATAAGAAAAATAGCTTAAATATATTATATACTACAATGTAGTTTTTGTAGTATAAAGTCTCTCTATTTTTATTTATTATTATTATTATATTATAATTATTATTATATAATATTATATTTATTATTATTTATTATAAATAATAATAATTATTTATTATAAATAATAATAATAAACATTTTTACATACCTTAATAATAACATTAAATAAGAAAAAATAAAAATCACTTCGATTTGCTAAATGATATTTTAATGATATTTTTAATATATTAAAAACTATCAATATCGAAAAAATATATAAATATATAATAAATCAAAAAAGTATCAATAATAAATCAAAATTATAATTCTACAAAATAATCGTTAAATTCTATTTTTAAAAATATATTTAATTAAGCTCTTTTGATAATTTTTTTTTTTTATTTATATAATTTTATATAATTTTATTTTTATTATTCTTAAATAAAATACACATATATGCACGCGCGCGCACACACACACATACACACACACACGCGTCTTTTTTTCTATCTTGTACAGAGAATATTATAGTTAGTATCGAAATCAATGAAAAAAATTTATATGAAAATGGTTGTTTAATTTATTTGGAAATGGAAAATTCTTATAGAATCTTTAAAATTTTTTTCTTAAAGAACAAAAAATTGCTTTTCTGAAAAAGAGAGAAAATTGTTAAAAATTATTTATGAATATTATACTTATCTCTTTGTATTATATTTTTTCACTATTCTAATATATTGGCGATATAATAATTTTTCAAAATAAAATGTTGTTTTCGAAATAAAATGTTCATTATATATCAACTTTTAAGAATTTGTTGTAAAACAAATATTTTAATTTTTGAATTCATAATGACTTAGTTTGCAAAAATACTAAATTTCTAAATTAATTGAAAAAATTCGAAGAAAAATTATTTTCATTTTCTTCCTTGTTTTTTAGTATAAAAACATTTTTGAAAAAATTTGAAATTCTTTAATGATCTAAAATGATTTTATAAGAGAATTTCGATAACTCGAAAATTCATTTTTTTTTTAAATTTTACAGATTTATAAAGGATTTCAAGAAAAATATCGGAGTAATTTTTTTTTAATAATTATAAATTATTTTTTAAAAAAAGTTATAATAAAAAATGAATAGTTTTTAAACTTTATAAGAAAATACTATTAAAATAGAAATAGGAATGCAAAATTCATATATTTAATTAAAATTATTAAAATTATTTAAGTATCACATTATGTAATAATTTAATAATAATATTTAATAATAAAATTTAAAATATTTAATATATTTATCTTTTTTACATAATAGAATATTCAAAATTTTTTGCAATAATAATGGTAATTTTTTATTCAAATAAAAAATTTTTATTAATTTCATAATATCGTATTAATAATAATATTGCATTTTATAAAGCAAAAAACTTAAAAAACTATTCATTTTTTGTTATAAGATTTTTTTGTATTTATTATAAAGAAAATTTTAAAAATACGTAGAGAAATAAGATAACATTTAATTTAATTAATTTCATTCAAGAGATGTTTTCATCCTCAAGAATCAAAAAAGTATCTAATACTTTTCTTGAAATTTTTTACAAGCTTACAAAATAAAAAAAAATCAAAATTTTCAGGTTATTGATGTGTTATGAAATATAACAAATATACGTTTTATGATTTATTTTTAATATGACAAAATGATTTGTATGTTGTTTGTATGATTTATTATTGTTAAGATTATTTAACAATTGAATAATATTTTGATCAATGATCAACAATTTTTACACACTACTACATATTCTTCGCGATAAAATGATAGCATATCCTTTGATTTTCAATAATTGCAAATTGATATTTTTTATTCATATATATATTATTTTTTATTTATTTCTCTTTTTTCATATTTTCTTATGATATGTTATTTTCATAATTAAATTCAAATTGAGCATACAAAAATATAAATGTATAATAAATATAAAAAAATATAAATGTAAGAAACTTCTCCTTTTTTAAATAACAGAATTGATGTGTTATATATGTTATCATTTTGTTGCATTTATGTTTCATATAAATAAATCAAATTTGATAAAAATATAAATTATAATTTATCTTCTTTTTCTTTTATTATTATTAAAAAAGATAATTTATATATTTATAATAAATATAAAACTTTTCTAATGAATTAACGATAAATAATATATATATTTGAAATAAAAAAATAAATAAAAATCTTAAATTAAAAAACAATTAAGCAAATAAATAGATCAAATTACTTACTGAAAATTCAATTTGAACTTTAAAATCATTCTTTTGAAATATTTTTTTTTAATGATAATATCCATCCTTAATATTGAATTAATAATAATTCTTAACAGATTAATTACAGATAAAATATTAGCGAATAGTAACATACACGAAAGCAATGTATTATTGAATCAACTATTTATTATTCATTTCATTGTAGTATCATTGTAGTATCATTGATCAATTGCAATTACTTGTAATCCAATAAAAAAATTGAATTTAATTTTTCTTTCTCATTGTTATATTTTAGCATTAAGCATTTTTGTTTAAATCTTTATATTATAGAAGATTGAATGATGGAACATTGATGAATATCGGCTAGAATTTCTGATCGAAGATGAAAAGATAGTGGGGTTTTCTCATCTTGATATTGAGTAATGAACAATGATTCACAATGTGTTTAGGGATCAAAATATGACATAGTTTTAACAAACTTCAAATTCATATTAAATTCATGTTAAAAGCTCTACAGAAAATCTCTCCACGGTAAATTTGAAAGTTCCATGATGTACATAATATTAGCTAATAATATCACGGATCAGTTTTTTAAATAATGATACCCTAAGAAGGCTAGGAAAAATTTCTTGAATTAGGTTTAAGATAAGTGTTGTACAAAAATACATAGTTCTAATTAGCGTATGTTTACTATAAACTTCGTCAAGAAGTTGATGTTGATTGAAGCTGGAACGTACCATTTCAAACTTGCATTGCACTTTAGCCAAGTGTCTTAAAAAATATTTATTATTTATCTAACGCATAAAATACTATTCATAAAAATATTATTCATTGTTTTGTAATATTCCTTATTTTAGATTTAGAAGCCAGAAAAAATATTTTCAACATTTGTGAGCCAATAATCTCGGATGATTAGAATTGAATATAATGCAATCAAATTATAAACAATTTTTAATCTTAAACCATTTGCATGTTTCAATGGAATTGTATCACTTTTTAATTTTTTTTTTGGACTGTGTCTATTATTTATTGCACTAGAAATTATCAGTAATAATTATGATTGAAAATTCAAAGATGTTCTTTGCTATTTTTTATTTCATACAAGTGGGGAAAATATTTTTAAAAAATTTTTCAAAAATAATAATAAATATTATGTATCGTAAATTCTTCTTAAGTTTGAAGATATTATCCATGGTATCATTGGCTACGACATTTCATGGATTTTCCAAATTCATTATGAATTTTTCATGCGCATAGCCTTTTTGTATTTTGATATTTTGAATTTATTAAAACTTCATTTTGATCATTAAATATAATCATATATTATGAGTTATTGTGAAAAATAATCATGAAGTACATATCGCATCTATAAATATAATCTGCTTATCATTAAAATGAGAAAAAAACACTCTTTTATTCAACTTTAGTAGAAATTCCAGCTAATACATGCATTCATCCAGCTTTGCGATCACGAATACAAAGATTTAAACAAAACTCTGCTGCTAAAGTGTGACAATGTGCAAGAAAAATTAAATTCAATTTTTTTAGTAGATTATAAATGATTATAAGCTGATCAATGTTGATGATTTATTTATAATTATTTATAAGATTAATTAATTATAATATATATATTTATATAATATAATATATTTATAAGATAATTAATTATAAGATATTTTTCGGTGATATTTTTTTTCATAATTAGTTTAATATGATGCAAATCTATCAAAAATTAATTCAATGCTAAGAAAATATATTAAAATAAAATCATATTAATTATATTATTTTAATATAATTAATAATAATTAATTATATAATTAATATAATTAATAATAATTTTAATTATATTAAAATAAATCATTAATTAAAATCATATTATTAATGTTAAGAAAGGATATAAAGAAGGATTTTGTTGAATGATTGATTTTATGTACTTATTTAATTATTTATTTTTTTAATTTAATAGGTTATAATGTATCATTATAATTATTTTATATGTATTATTTATTATTTGTTATTATTTTTATTTGTATTATTTTTTATTTGTATTATTTATTGTATTATTTGAATTATTTATTGTTCATTTGTTGAAAAATTTTATTATAATTTTTTTATATAATAATTTATATAAATTATATTATATTTATATATTATATAATTTATATAATTATATAATAATATAATAATTATATTTTATATAATAATATATATTCATTTTG